TCATGCTGAGTTGCATTACATTCAAGTCCCTGCAAGTTCTTTTGTAGTCAGGCAAAGCTAGGAATGCCAGTTTTCTTGTTTCTTTTTTTCTTTTCTTTGTAACTTGGCCCTCTGTGTTTCCATTTAGCCTCCTTTACATATGAGGAGAGACTGAGATTTAACCAGTGTTTTGTTCTATTTGTGGCTTAAATGTGTGCTTCACTTTAGGTTTCAAAGCTGGCCTGTGCTCAGCAGTGCATCTATATGTGTGCATGCAGTCATGCTCTTGCATGCTCTGGTGTATGTGATTGGCAGGCAGTTGGATGGCTGGAATGAGCTGTATCGCCTGCAGTGTGTTCTCAGCTCCACATGCTAGGTGCCAGTGGTGAGGAGGCGGTTGATTTACTGCTGGTAGTAAGTCACATTTCCACACAAAGACTGGCAAGCAGAGCAGTAGTACAGTAACTACACGCATACACTTTTGCTCACACGGACAGAGATGCAGTAGTGGATGCAATATTAATTCTGTTCTTCGCGTGGGTAAGGCATAATCTTTAAAATGACTGACTTTAGAGCAAACACAAATCGACACAAACACAGTCAGTGGAGCGGTGTCTGCACTTACATCTGCATGCACAGCACCATAGCTGAATGTAGGTCACAGAATAAGGCAGATGTGGGGGAAGGAAAGAAGGTGAGCATTGGAAGTGGAAGTGAAGGGAGGAGGAAGCCTTTCATTATGTGATCATGTTGGAGCAGCGGTAGGATTAGGGCTGGCTACATAGGGAGGGTTTAACCCCTGGATTTGAAAGTTTTTGCCTTTGAAGTAAAGGGTAATAGTGCTTACATCCATCATGTTATATGTTATATTTACACAAACATGCTATATATCATCTCCTCTCCTCTCCTCTCCTCTCCTCTCCTCTCCTCTCCTCTCCTCTCCTCTCCTCTCCTCTCCTCTCCTCTCCTCTCCTCTCTTCTCTTCTCCTCCCTGACTGGCCTGGAAACTATGCTACAAAAGTAGTAGCAATGGCAGAAGTAACATTGGATAAATCTGTACTTCTTGATTGTTTTACACAACAAGACTCTGCTTTAGCTTCAACATTATCCTATTTTTAGCTGCTCATTTATATGGACTTAGGTAGCCAGCCACTCAGTCTACTGGCTATTCTTAACAGCTGCACTTTAGGGTTTCAAGATGTGATGAAGTGCAGCGAAGCCTTTTGGAAAGCTCGGACACTGGCAGTATAATTACACAGGGTGAAGTCTGATGTCCTACACGGTAATAACCTCATTGCCTCTGGAGGCTAAAGCAGGGTGGACCTGCAGCTGGGGGTTCATTAAGTGAGGAAAGAGAGACACAATTCATTTGGTCTGCGCATATGCTTCTTCTTTGAGCTCAATTTTCTCGCTTCAGTTCAGGACTTCAAGTGACTTCTGATGTCCTTGTTACAGTCCGTCCTTGCTCTTGTCTGCAGTGTCTCATTTTTTTCTTCTCTGATCTGTAACTGCACAAGTTTCTATCTTGAGATTATATGAAGAAGTACAGCAGTATATGTTGTACAGTGAAATATTATTCCTTGTATTGGCCAAGTTTGGAAGGCAAAAATGGCCCAAGATCAATACATGTGTAATTACCTCTGTATTAAAGACGTTCTAATGTTAGGAATGTACCAATCTGACAGGGAGCATTCACATGCAACCCAAAAGTCTGACGCGTACCGAATTCTGACTTTTAAAGGTGTTGATGAGATAATTTCTGTGTGAACCCTGACTAACATGTGGCAGATCAAATGGTGAGATTAAGTGCTGCTTATCTGCTTCACAAGGTTATACCTTGCTCTCTTGAGATTAATTTAAGATCTCTTCAGTGGAGACAACGGGTACAAAGACTCCTCTGTTAGAGCGATCATTTAGTCAAACTTTGTTAAGAAAAGTTAAAATTGGAATTTGCTCATTTGAAGTGGAGTTCATTATATTTCTGGAGTGGAGCGTGAACTCTGAAGTACAGATTAGTTTTGAGATTGTGTGGATTTAAAAAAATAAAAAAATAAAAAAATTCAGATTCACAGTAAATGATCCGCATCTAAGTGCTCTTCCCTGGCTTTCCTGTGTAATCCTGCTGACAAATAAAACAGACACTGGTGAAAACATAAACCCGTTGGCAGAGTAATAAACTTGAGGCGACTACTGCAGGAAGATAGAATGAAGGTTCAGTTTACTTGGAACAAGCTAAGTTGTACGATGTGTCTGCTGAACATGTCTAAAGACAGAAGTGTCTGTACCTGCTCTGAAAGGCCACAGTCAAAGTCTGCTCCTGACTGTGTCACACTGCCTCCCTGACCTCTCGCCAACAAGGCATTCACAAAAAGAGACTCCAATTGCGGAGGTGTGACAGGCTGCTATTTATTGTGACTGGAACATACAAATAGCGGCCTGGCACCTTCCCTCGACTTAAAAATCTTGCTGGAAAAGTTGAGCACTTGTCAGCTCTACCTCTGATGTGCTGGGGCAACAATGTTGAGATAACCGGTTGTGTCTGTTTTTACCCTCGAGAAACAGAAGTACAGCTTTTAGCTCCAACCAAACTTTGCAGAAACATGTCGTGCAAATGTGGGAGAAGTCGGTCATCAAGGTAAATAGCGTTCACACGCAATATGAATTGTAACAAGATATCGTGTCTTTAATCCAGTGTGGAAACTAAATGCTCAACTAGACACACTCACAAGCCTGCCTATATAAGGAGTGTAGTGATTCTGAAACCTAAAGCGAAACCACGAAGATGTGTCGTGTCTTGATGCTGAAAAATGGAGCTGCGACACCAAAAATCAAGGCCTGAACTGAACTGTGAATTTGAAAAATCCTTCCACCCCTAGTCCGTATGTGTGAACAGGGGGAAAAGGGTGCGCTCTATTTTCATAAAGTTTCCTCGCTTTGTCGATGCAGAAAATTGTGGGGGGTGGGGGTGTGTTTTTAAATGCAGATAGATACTGCGACAAGCACTTTGATTTCGAAGATACTCAGGTCCTGAGTTGGAGTACGATGTGGTTGAGTCAAACCACGAAAAAACAAAAAAAAACCAAAAAACACTTCACCCAAGTTCACCCTGACGTTCATAAATAACTCTGGGCCCCAGTAGTGAAGATGCATACACCCACCCACTTCTATTTCAAACCACATCCTTTTTCTAAATGTTTACCCCCTCATGTAATACCTTACTGCAAAAACACTTTATACATAGATCACGTACTGTATTTGCAATGATGCCATGTTCTCTTCACACAATCCTGGGAGACTTGGACAGGAATTTTTAAGTTCACAAATGAATTCAGAAATCTAAAAAGGTGACTCCTGACCACATCGTTCACACTCTTGTCTGGCTTAGTGGACCTTGTCTTGTCGCCTTTTTTATAACCTCGCAGCGATCTATTAGTTTGTAGCTGCCAGTTGCTGCTTGAATATTAAAGGAAAAGGGCTTTTTTTTTTTTTAAGATGGAGAACAACTCCACTCTTGAGGGCTCAATATTTTATGAGGAACAAGCCCCTTGGTCAGTGTTTTATGCGAGAGAATGTGCAGACTTAACATCCTATTGCCATGCAGTGTGCAGAATAGAGGACTTCATGTTTTCTTGCAGAACCAGCTCTTGGTCTATTTTCTGTTCCATTTATCCAAAGCCTTTCTTTGTTAGACATATTTATTGAAACACCATGGACTAATCTTTATTAGGCTAATCAGGCTCTATCCATTGACATCTATTTTCTGCTTGAATAGAGACAAGTATTGAGAAAATGTTCCTGTGAGCTAACCTGAGCTAACTCTCCCGTTTTAAGTTGTTTCTGTAAAATTCATGTGGCCTTTACCTTCCCATGCTAAAAGCCAGAATCTTTATTTCCTACAGAAACCTCAGTTCGCTTATTAGACAAATTTTTCAAGTTGGCTGTGATTAAAGCATTCGTAACACAGCCTCTCCACCCTGGGTCCTCAGCAGGGTGTAGTAAAGTGGAATGAACAATTTTCAGTCAGATGATGTGTGGCTATATGCCCTGAAGGGCTGGCCATGTACTTACCTGGCAGTCAAATAGTAGCTAGAATTCAGTAAAGTCACCTCTGGCAATGCCTGTACTATAGACACATTGAGAATATTATAGCATGGAGCAGCAAGGCATGCTGGGACTGGGATGTATAAATATGCTCTCTATTTTGCGCTTACTTTTCTGGTTCTGTTGTGGAGATGTTTTGCAGTGTTAAGCTGGCCTAAAGAGATCAAGTATCATTATATTATATTATATTGATCAAGTATTTTTGTTTCATATATAAATATTGAAAGAAATTCACATTAGTCAGCAGTTGTTATATGCACACTGACCAAACGGAAATAGAGGGAACTCCCTGTACTCTGTACTTGAGATCGAATGAGTCACAGGTTTAGCATTGAATGAATCAAGGACTCCTTAAATGAACAACGGACCAGGGATGTCACAAACGACGGATACCAGAAATTTGATGCCAATACCAATGAAATTCCACAATTCTTGATACCAAATTCGATTCCACAGCAAAAAACAGAAAACATACATGCACACTCCATATTGTCAGTGTGCGAGGAGCAGTAGTTTAAATTGAATAATACAAGGTGATAGACCACTATAGTGTGAAAATGTTAATTTAAAAACTCAGCGTTATATTCTGACAGACGACGTTGCTACAACAGATACCAGCTGTCATTATTCACAAAAAATAGCAGCAACATTTCAGGACATGAACATTTTGACAACATGTTGGTAATAACTGAAACTCACTCATCCTGAATTCTGTGTACGGACCCTGATATCCGTCCTTGAGCTGCTTAAATAAATTTGAGGTGTTTCCTCCTTTCATTTGAAATGCTCTGTGTCACCGTTTGCAGACTGGACTTTGGTCGCCTATAACTTGTCCCTGATGATCTGCGTCAAATGTAAAATATCTCCAAACACCAATCTTGCCATGTTTTTCTTCTTTCTTTTTTTTTTTTCTTCTGTAGGCTGTATTTCAAGACTATATACAATTCATCACATCAATCCTCCAACACTGACCAAGATAAAAGATGCCTGGGAACAACACCTTAAGGTGACTATGTCATTATTAGACGGATTTACTCCTCATCCATTTGCGTTCGCCACTGTTTGCTGCAGTTCAAAGTTACTCATCGTCTCAATGTTCTCATGTTCTCAGTCTCTGACGCCGGCTGTCCTAGATGCCACCAGTCACCAGCGACAATGGGCCATATGCCCTGGTCATGTGACCCATAATAACAATTTCTGGACCTCAATATTTGAAGTGTCACACTCATATTGCTGTGAGCTGTGGGTAATCCTCACAATGCAGCTGCTGCCAATCAAAAACAGACAAGTGGTAAACAAGAACTCATCACTACCAATGTTTGATTTTAAAGTCATCGGAACTGAAATGATTAGTTTATTGATTGACAGATGAACTATTCAAATCACTTTTAAACATCCCATTCGCTACAGCTTCTCTATAAAGAGATTATCTGCTTTTCAAAGTTTTATATAAAAGAAAATCAACATTTATCCAATTATTATCATATATTCAAGTAATCTGGATTCAGGTTTTGCTCTTTAAAAGATCTGTGCTTTATATTCTGTTAAGGTTCCTTTTGTTCATCACTGTCTCCTGCTAACACTCAGTCATTTAGTCGTCCTTTGCTGTCTGGCAGACGCAACGTTTCAATGTTTCCTTTTTTGCACCATTTCTTTGTGAAGCCCTCACAAAACCAGCTCTGTCTTCCACCCCCGCCTCTCCATCTGTGCCACACATTTATGTTGTTTCACCACAGTTACTGAAGCACACATCCTGATTGCTGCCAGGTGAGGCAAGCTATCTGCACGCACACACATGCATGCACGACACACCTCAGGGCCCGCGCGCATACATCTGCAGTGGGCTTGTGTGGAGCAGTGGTGCATATAGATGGCATTTGCTTGTTGATAACATTGCCATTGGGTAGGGGTGTGCTGTTCTGCTTGTTTTCTTTGTCTTCTGGGTGTGCTGTTGTTATTTCCAGGTGTTAAATGGCGCATTTTCCACTGAGTGACATTTGACCTCAGTGTGGCAGACACGTCGAAACTGCTGCGCGGGGGATTACTGTCAAGACACACCTGACTATGGCCCTGAGGCCTGCGCCAGAACATGCTGCAAGTTTATAGAAAATAATCAGATGCTGTGTGTTTGTGCAGATGTGCATTTTTCTCAGTCTCCATCCAGTATTTTCTTTCTCCCATACTGTCTCTGCTCCCTGTGTCCCAGTTGTTCCCTGCTGGTTTCCTCCGTCTTGACCCAGGGTCAGTGGATGAGCTTTGGCCTCCTGTGTGGCCCCAGGGCGAGAGGCCAGGATGTCTGAGTATATGGGGAGGAGGGAAAGCGGGGGCGCCTGAAATCACTTCTGCTTCACTCTGCAGGACCTGGCAGCTACAGACACAGGAAGCTGTAATTAGGACTAGAGGAGGCTTAACACTCAGGAGCTTTTTTTTTTTTTTTTTTTTTTTTTTTCTCCTGCCTCACTCTGCCGTGTTCTCAAGAGAAATACTCCCACATCAGGAGACCAAAACTCATAATTACGCGTGGATGAGAGGATTGTAGTCCTCTGATGTGAGGCAATTTAATGCTTCATTTATTCACCTTCGTTGCTGTGTATTTCACTCTGTAAGCTATCAGTGAACCTAACGTGTTGTACACAAGATTATTATCAAAGCTGCAGCAAAAATAAATCAGGCTGATAACGACGTTTGATTGTTCAGTGTTATTTTTAATGATTTTGGCAAAGGAACGAAATAAGCAAAGGTGACATGTTGAAGCACATGTGTTGAGCTGAGTCCAGGTTTCTGATGTAGCGTCTTACTCAAAGTGCAACTCAGTGGAGCAACGGAACAGTGGTTGTTACTGTGGCGACAGCTAACTGTAATCCAAATAAAAAAACAAAACAGTTATTTATATATTTATTACGTCTATTTAGAGAAAACATAGCACTGCAGTTATTTTAGACACTAAAAGTAAAGTGAGATAGTCTTGAAAATAATGTGATGAATAGTTAGTTAACTTCTTACAAAGTGCAGTAAACAGAGAAAAACATACATCAATATTCGGTGTGACCACCTTTTGCCTTGCACACAGTTTTTGGTAGATTGGTTGTTCCAAGCATCACGGAGAACTTGCCACAGTTCTTCTGTGGGCTTAGTCTGTCTCAGTGTGTTCGGTCTCTTGATGTAATCGCAGGCTGGCTCCGTGATGTTTAGATCAGGGCTCTGTGGGAACCAGACCATCTGTTGTGGGACTTCCTGTTCTTCTTGTCACTGGAGACGGATCTTTCTGATTGTGGCTGTCATTATCCTGTAGAAACACAGCACCGTATATCTGTTTAACACCAGCGTGCAATCACTTGATCCTTTATTGCTTTGATTGCCCCAAAAGAACGGACAGTTTCCCAAACTTTCCTCAGTGAGTCAGTGAATTCTTTGGTCCATAAAATGTCAGAACATAGTGAATAATGTCCATCACACTTTCCTGAAGTCAAAGGAGATGTTAATAAATAGTTTTCTTTGTCTGAGCAACAGTACAAAACCTACAGATATTCAGTTCATTATTATAAATCATATCATCATATATCAGACAAAGGAAGGCAACAAATCCTCACAATTTAGGAGCTGTAACTAAGGAATCGATCAATATCAATCAATTTTCGATCAATTAATTTTATGTCAATTGAGTAATTGATTAATCATTAACTTGATATTTTAACACCCCTCTTTAGCATGTCCAAGCAGTATATAAACACTGCATAAATAGGTTCTAACACATTTTAATGTAATTTTAAGCAGACACAAGTGCCCAGTAATGTATTTGTAAACAACAACAACTCCTGTGGACAGGACGGATGATGAGTGACAGTGTAATAAAACAGTTGTAATAATACAAAATATGTCCTCATAGGAGAAGTTACAATTGCTGACAAATACATTTTAAACACTTACAAATGGCCTTACAACAACATTACAGAGTGTTTATACACTAATTCTGAGTTTTTCCATGTAGAGAAAAAAAACGCCTCATCAGTCACAATCAGTGCTGATGTGAGAAATAAAGCCGACAGCTACACTGCAGGTCAGGCTGAAGTTAGTTTGATAATAACCATTTGAACACCATAGAGTCTGCATTAACTTGGAGTTGATTTTAAAGTTCCTTTTGACTTCACACTCCCACATTCCTCAGTCAAACCCTGGAGTATATTTGTTATTACTTTAGATGTTCTTCAGGTTATTCATATTTTGTACGATTTTATTTTTTTATTTTTTGTGATGTGACGTTGAAACACAACTCATGGTTCAGTCTTTAGTTCTTCTAGTGTTGAATGTTATATGAAGGAAGCTGTAAATTTAATTCCAGTTAATAAACGAGCCTAGTTTCGAAAAACTCTCCTTTTATGTTATAAGTGGAGAGCAGCCAGATTCTGCCCTGCAGGAGGCGTTTTCCTGTGGCGTGTCTATGCGAGCACTGTGTTTTCATGCACACACAGCCTCATGCATGCATGTGCTCTTTTGACCCCACTAATTTGTAGCACTCTTCTTCTCAGGGTCCTGTTATATCCTGGCGGACACGTGGACATGAAGAAATAGAAGCATCAGTCGAGGTGAGTGTTTCAAACCTCTTTCATAATAATCCACATTTTGTCTTCGTCCCCCGAGCAGCTGTATTCAGAGCTTTCTTCTTTTGCAGGCCCTCCAGCTGACCTCTGGGCTAAGTCCTGGCCGTGGGGCTTTGTTGTTGGTGGGCCAGCTGAACAGGCGTGTATGTGAGTGAGAGGTGATGAAGTCCAGTATGAGGCAGTGGCGGAGGCTGGTGTTGGTGGGAATGCTGGCCTGGGTTCTGCTCTTCCTCGCCCTCCTCTCTTACTTCCTGGATGCTCGCGTGGATGAACCCCTGACCTCTGCCGGCTCTTTACTCTCCCAGCACCCCGACACTCGCCGCCTGGCCTCCATACAGGCCTCCCATCAACAGCATGCCATCGTCGGCTCCCGACCTGAACTGGCTTTGACGTTAACTACGACCTACCCTGGAGATGAGCCGGAGCCCTCCGTCAGCTCCATGACCCCAGAGTCCAGCCTGGAGGTCAGCCACAGCCCCAACAGCGCTCCCTATGCCATCTATGGTAGCCAGGAAGCCAGCCGCCAGGATTACCTGGACCCTCAGAGCCTGGCTGCCTGGTCCTCCTTTGGTACAGAGAATGTGGGTTCTCACTCAGACCCTTCAGTCCAGAGTCGTGAGAGAACATTTCAGACCACCGAGTATCAGAACCATGTCAGCAACACACACCGCCACGTAGGGGAGGAGGAAGAAGAAGATGAAAGGGACAATGAAGATGAAGAACTGGGAAACAGAGTGAGGACTACAGCAGACAGAAGAGCCGGCGGTGACTCCTCTGACCTGGAGGAATATTACTTCTCCAAGTCGGCCTCTGTGGTGCAGCGGCTGTGGCGGGGCCGCGTGTCCGCCGGCATGCTGAGTCCTCGGCTGCAGCGGGCCATGAAAGACTACGTGAGTGCTAACAAACACCATGTTTCCTACAAGAGGCTTCGCAGGGCTGCCCACAGTGCCAAGGAGCTGCTGTGTCAGATGAAAGCCCAGGCTCGGCTGAGGACGGTGGATGGCTCGGAGCAGCCTTTCTCCTCGCTTGGCTGGGCTCGTCTTGTGCCATCCCTTCCTCTGGAACAACTGTACAGGCGGCAGGAAAAGAGCAGCTTCAAGACCTGTGCGGTGGTCACCTCGGCTGGTGCCATCCTGCGCTCAGGACTGGGCAAGGAGATCGGTGAGTAGAGATATCGTAGAGTTTGAGTAAGGGCGACATTTAAAGAGAATAAAAATAAAGTTTGAAAGCATGCATGCAGATCTTGCACTGTAATAAAAATTTAAAGCCCTTCTATGCACACTTCCCCTTGAGGTGGCAATGTTCACTCACATTACACCAACTCTGGGACTTAAAATCTACTTTTTTCTGAATGTGGTGCCGAGGAAACACCATGTGGTCAATGAAACCTAAAAGTGTTATTGCTCCAGGAGCACGACTGAGCAAATTTGCCTGTTAGATTCCCATATGTCAGTCATGTACAGCTGTGACGTAGATCCCTGGGTGGTGCAAGTGGAAAATTTAGTGTCTGATATAGAAAGATTTTACAGTGAGAGGGAATTTTCTCAGTAGCTTTAATGGCATCTGTTAGTTAGATTTTAATATTTCTTGTGTACAAATTGGCATTTTGTGCTTAATGAAAAGTTGAAGTTGTATTGAAAATCTTTTTTATTTAAGCTCCAGTGATGAGTAAGATTCACACTAAAGTCTAAATCTGATAATTAGACCCTTTGTCCTGGAAAGAAAACGGTCACAGTGGTACCCTCAATAAATATAATGCCATTTCAAAGTAAAATCACCAACAGAGAAATAGTTGTATCGTTAATTCTCAACTGGGACCTTTAATTAATTATTAGAGACAGAACTTGCCATTTTCTGTTACTGTGTTACTTTGGTATTGGCACTGGTTGCAATTAATGCTTTTCCATCTGTTTTAAATTCAAACACTTACAACAGGTCAAGTGGCTTAATGTTTCACTTCAATAAAGTCATTTATTGTGAAACTTCTCCAAGAAGTGTTGAGTTTCATTAGAAGCAGCTCAGCATCATAAAAGCACTACAAAGCAGAGCTGTAGCGTAGTAAAGCTGCATCCATGTCAACAACCCCAGTTACATTTAAGCCAGCCAGTTACCAGGCGTCATGTATTTGGATCATAGTGCTAGGACATCAGAGTGTTCCCTCCGTGTGTGTGTAAGGTGTGGACCTCCTTATGTACTGAGTGTTTCGGGTCTTCGAGTATTGACAACTGACTGTCCGATGGTCGCTACCTTTGCAGCTTAAAGCTCCTCAACTGAGTTTTTAAACCTGCTGAGGGCTGTAATGCTTCCATTTATGTGGCTGGCAGCTAGTTTAGTAGCATAAAGGCTGAATAGACGGGAGAAGGTGAAAGCTTTTGTGAGGGTTGGACTTCGGTGCGTGACCATAAAGCCTTGAATGGACCAGTGTAAAAGCAGTTTGCATTGAACTCGTGGAAACTCCAGAAGAAAAAGTTAGTTTGTTCATTGTGGGCCAGCGCTAATCATGTATTCTTGATCTGTTACAGTGGCCCACGAAGATGTTGTACTTTAAAGTTCAACAAATATCCATCTGCACCTGCAGTGATTTGCATTCATGTTTTTTCATGGCATTTGCTGATTAACTTGTCAAGCTGATTGTAAGCAGGGTAGTGTGTGTGTGTGCCTAGCAGGCTATATGTCTTTGCATTAGATTGTGTGTGCTCTTGGTTTGGAGACGTTGGCAGCTCTTTGGTTAGTGGGGAGAGTGTGAACTCAGTGACAGATGGCTCACTAGAAGAAAGCAGAAACCCCTCTGGTAACCGATCAGGCTTCTTCGCATCACATATAGCTTCCTTGCATTTCCTTGTGAATTCAGCTGCTCAGAACAAACACTAGAATTAATACGGAGGGCTTCGGCTTTGTGTGTTGTTATTTTTCCACATTTAACATTTCTAAACAGTGACAGAGTTTTACAGACACTGGCTGACCCAGATTATATCCTGGCCTAGAAAATGACAGCATTCAAAACGCCTTTCTCAGAAAATCGGATGAATGCAAGTGAGGTAAACCTGCATCTGCACTCGCAATGTGTGAGCGCTGTGGTCTATCAACACCGACGCCCCCCGTATGCTGCAAGAAAAGTTCCCCTGCTGCAGGTACAAACAGCTTTGCTGCACTTACTGATGAATATTAGGATTTTTAATACTGTAGAACGAAGAACATTTGACTGAGTAGCACAGAAAAGCAGAGTCAGTCTTCAGTTTTGGGCGCCCGGGCTTGGATTTAAACTCTGCAGGTGCTTCTAAATCTCTCTTGATGCATCATCATCCCCCATGTTTGTTTTTGGTTTCTGTCCAATAATGTGACCCATATGCACATGCTCATAGACAAAGGAAGTGAATGTCTTTGCAGCGTCATAGTTTAATTATCATTTCCCCAGTTTCCAACATGCATACCTTGTAAAAAGTTCAAAGCGGGATCTGAAGTCAATATGAGAACATAAAAGTTGTCATGTTATTCATGACTGGCTCTTCTCTGGGGGCTATTGCATGCATCTGTATGTCAAACAGCAGAGCAGCAGAGTATTGGTTCATTGTGTCATCATCATGCTATTCACTTTTTAAAAAGAGATTTTTCTTGAGAGGAGACTTAGAGACTTAGTGACTTGATGAATGAGATAAATGTACCAAAGCCGATTTAATTATTAAGTAGCCTCGCAGTGCTGGAGAAGCTTGACATTGTTACATTAATTCTCAGGCTTAGCTTCAACAGGAAATCAAACTGCATTGATCTCACTCTGTCTACTTGCGCTCACACTGCTGTCCTTCCCAGCAGGCTTCACTGAGTCAAAACGCTCATTATGCAGCTGTGAGAGGTGATGAATCACCTAAAAGAACCAAAAAAAAACTAAAAAAAAACAAATAGATGTGAAAATCGCTTCCTTCGGTTGGCTGACATTTAGATTACAGGGTTTCTCAGCAGCTGCTGCACCGAGTTCCCCATTTGAGAGTTTTGTAACAGTGGTTTCGGTTTAGTTCAGTGTCTTGATGTGTGACGATGTGTGGCTGCCATCTTGTGGCGAACAGAATGAACAGCGTCTCCAGTGCAACACGGGCTGGAGAAAATACATGATGAGGGCCCAGTATAGCATTATTCTGTTAAACAGATATTCTCCTTCTGAAGCTTGTAATTGTTTTGTTTTGTTTTTTTTTACATTTTTTTGGGCATGTCTGCTTTTTTATTTTTATAGTAGAGACAGACAGGAGAGTCAGGGTAGAGGGAGAGAGGGAATGACATGAAGCAAAGGGCCCGGTCCGGACTTGAACCTGGGACGCTGCGGTAAGGACTCAGCCGTAGCACGTGGTACGGGCTCTACTCTGTGAGCTACCGGGTTTCCCCAAAGCTTGCGATGTTTATTATTTCTGGGACTGTTTGAGAGGATTTGACTCCACTCTGAGGTTATATTTGAAATCATAGTTTGTAATACTGTTGAGTAAATATCCTGTTAAGGATCCACCAGTGTGTGTTGGTGAAGTCTCTGACTCCTGTCCCTCTTTGTTCGTGTAGTTTTTCTGCAAACGGTGAGTCATTATTTCAGATTAAAGTGAAAGTGAATGAAACCGCTTTGTGTTGTCTGTAACTGATTCAGTCTGAATTGGTGCCCTCCAGTGGAAGTATTAAAAAAGACAGTGGATCTGAGTCCTCTTAGACTGCACCAATTTTTCACCATTAAAATCATTGAACAAAGCTCTAATCACATGAAAAGGCTAGTTGCAGTTGCATTAAACATTAAACACATTTAGATTTCCTTGGTATGTAGATTTTTTTTTTTTTTGTCCAATATGGATTTCTGTTCCCTTCCTTTAGTCTTCATATTCTGAATCCATGAGAATAAAAGACATCAATGAAAAAAAAAGAACATAGCACATATAATGATTATTAATTATTTTTGACTTGCTCAGTGTATAAGATGTCAAAAACTGTGGAAATGTACATTGCAATTTCCAGAGAGCCCAGGTGATGTCCTGTAATCACTTGTTTTTTCCAATCCATGATCCAAAATCCAAAGAGATTCAGTTTACAGTGATGTAAATTAGAAAAGAAGAAAATTCCCCCATTGTAGAGGAAGAGCAAATGTTAGATTTTTTTTCCTGATTAATGACTTCAGTAAATAACTACGTAACAAAATCGGTGTCAAATTTCTGTGAATTGTCTCACAACTCATTAATCAGCGTTTTTCAGCTCCGTTGTCGGTGACAATAACATTTGTTCAGAAACGAATAAAGAAAATGAAATAATAATAGAAAAGAATAGAAAAGATAAAATAGCAAAGACAAAACCGTAAAACCAGAACATGTCAACAAAAGCTTTCGTGTAAAGTTACAAAAACTGCCTTATAACTCTTCAACATCCGTACAACAGTCCACAGCCGACATATCCCCGCCACGGCCTAACCTGCCGATGTCAGAGAACGCTCAGGCACATAACGGGTTAACGGGTTGGTAATTTAATTGGAACAAAGCCATTTCATACCTTTTAGAAGTGAGTGCATCATCTTGATTTATAACCTAACACTAAGCTGGTGAAAGGTGGCCAGCACAGAGGAATATATGATACAGTAATAACTGGAGCCATGATTGATACCACATGATAATTCAGTTCAGGTAAAAAAACAAACACGTTAGCAGATGACCAAAGTGACCCTCCTGACTTGGACCAAACATGAATGGACACTTCATTTCCTGCCAGACATCTGCTGTAGCAGCTTCCTTATGACATTCATGGCTGCTTCTCCCACTTTGTATTTGTCAGGCATGGTAGATGGCGTCCACACCGTTAGACAGAGAAAGATTCCTAACTTTGAAGTAACTGCATCATAACTTCAAAAGCAGCTGAACAGGGTCAGTTATATTAAGTTGAAAGCTAACTAGCAGTTATGTGCAAGTGGTCATGCACACATATCTTTCTCTAACAAGTCCCCAAGTGTCAAAAGGAGACACAGGAGTGTCGATCTCTTACTGTAAAATGTGTTTGTAACATAACAAGAAGAGCATATTAAATCATATCACCATCAACAGAGCAGCAGCGGGCTCATGCAGGTTTAATCTCATAGGCCCTGATAGATGGGCCCTTGGCAGTGCAGTAATCAATCCCTCTGCGAGAGGGTGTGAATAATGATCTTGTAATACTGCAGTTTCGCCACCACCGCATGTGTCACAAGCTTCACATACTTTACGGCCGGACCTGATGTAGTAGTTTGTGTCGATGAGATCTCTCTCTCTTTTTCATACAGTCCGCTGACAGCTGGAGAAAGCCAGTGTTTACTCTCAGCCATTAATACTAACAACTGTCAGCTTTTAAACGTGCTGATGTGTCTGTAATGCGCTCACACACAAAGTCAGCAGGAAATTAGAAACCCCAGGTCCTTGTCATAAATACTAGAAGAGAGGGAGAAGCACGCTCTTGACTTGAGATCATCTGAATTTATTAATGAACATAAGCTGCGAACTACAGTCGGCAGAATGTGGCAGTTGAATCGAGCATCAGTCTGATCGTCGTGGATTGCACAGATTAAGTTAATAAACTGGTAATTTGGTAAATTGATGTTGCCACTAAACGCTGGAAAACAAAATAATGTTTTCATTAAGACCATGGCTAAATCTAACTTCTCCCATTAAACTTTTCTGTGCAACAAATTTTGAAATCAATCCTGAACTCAAACCGATCTTTTCTTTCAAATTGAACATGTTACAAAATGTTGTGTTGTGTGTTATGAAAATCAAAGCTGTTTTTGGAGGGTTGGATAAATGTTTTTCAGTTTGGGCTTGATTGCATTGGCAGGAGAAAATAAAAGCTTTTAAACAACAAAAAAAATAAAAGCCTGCAACTAATTCTAATATATTTGAAACTCCTTTACTTTCAGAACAATTAAATGAAATGAATTTAGACAAATTCTCACGGCTTGAGTCATGTAATCATTTTATTCTGTTGTGAAGAGGTAATTGGTATTTCTTAGTTTTCGCCATTTATACTTGGTTGTATTATTCTGAATTTCTCTTTGATTTGAAGTACTTGACAGTTTTAAAATCTCTAGGTCTCCTCTGAGAAGGAATTAAAGAAAATAGAAAAAAACATTATTTCGATTATACTGCTCCCAATGGCGCTTCACTACCTGAAAAGAGGGTCACAAGTGAAGCATCACTTCACTTTGAGGGGTCACAGTCAGACAGCACTGAAAATCACTGATTGCAGGAAGAAATATTCATAGAAATGAAATCATTTGTCATGAACACAACTCACGGGCTGGAACTGGTTCCCTGACGTCTATTAGGATTTTATAAGTAGGCTCCAGTGTGCCCACTTATTTGTTTAGTTATATTCTGTCAAGGTGGTATACTTGTTCAGTAACACAAAATATTTGAATGTGATAGTGACCGCGCTCTCATCTGATATTAACACTGAGAAAAAGTAGCGCCTTTCACTCAGCGCTTCATCAGACCAAAGGTTTAAATACGTGAAACACTTGTAAGCTACTAATTAGCTACGGCAAATACATGTGTAAGCGAGGCTCCTCAGACAACCAATAGTAAAACATCAACAAAAAACAATATACATAAAACAAAATATATATGAACTACTAAATGATAATTTAAGCATTTCAACTTTAAAAGATTGGACAAGATGGTCATTAACCCTTGTATGTCTGAAAGCCCTCCGCACTAGACTGATGATGAATTTGCCAACCGCCAGCAGATGTTAGTGACCGCCAGCAGATGGTAGGGACATATCATCAGTTGTGAACCTTAGCCTCATCAGGTGTTTCGGCAGGCCCACCACAGGCTGATCAAACCTGGGTGTGTGTCTCTAACATCTTGGGGCCCGGTCCCTGATGACCTCAGCCGGCATTTCCCCATTCTCGAAGAAAAAGAAAACAATAGAAATGAAAAAGAAATTATTAAGTTATCATTATTTTGTCTTTGGTTTTATCATGAGAAACCTGTCTGCTGAATGTGGCCAAAGAATGATCTCTGCTTTAAGAAAACAATCTTGAGAATCCATCAGTCTGGTAGTTCTGTAGGGACCAGGTGTGTTTACAGTATTACATTGGAACAGGAGGGCAAACTCAATGTCGAGCTTGTGAGCATGTTTTTCCGGAGTGTTTGCAGAAGGTAGTGATGTTCTGAATGCCAAACGCTGTTGTAACAGTCGACCGGTGGCAGTGATGAAGGAGCATCAGATCAAAAGGTGGCGCATCATCCATTCTGGTGTCAGATCAACACGGGAATGGGTTTGCTAGATCTGACAGATCGATCAACAGACAGGCAGAAATTACAAATTTGTAATTATTACTTCAGCCATCCGTCAAGCTGAGGATTTCATTTTGCTGTGTGAACTGCAAAGGGCACTATACGAACAAAATGAACAACATATGGACTCAAAATCCTGAGTTCCCTGGTGAAACTGTAATATTTTGAAAGTAAAGCTCTTTATGATAGTGTTGGCAGGTACCTGAACTCACCACTGCAGAGAACTATTGTCTGTAAACCTGCCAGATGTCATCGTCAGTGTGATCACAACTTACATCACTGCTGCCACCATGTTGTCATAGTGACTTCTGCCATGAACACTGTGCGTGTGTGTGTGTGTATGTGTGTGTGCGCCACAGTGTACCTTCAAATATTTGAAGTTGATGATACTAAGCAGTACCTGTAGAAGACAGTGACTACAACAAGAAATTGACAAACTCTGGTTACTGTTGTGAAACTGTTAATAGACGTCAAGATGTTTTGTCTCAGAGGTTTGACTTTATCTAACTTTGTATTTATCTGAACAACTCAAGGACTCTCTAAATACCAAAGCTATACTGTCGGATTTACATAGCTGCATGTAAATCTACAAAATATGTAACGGCACGTAAAGAAGCTTTTATACTGAAGCTCATCTCATTACCCATCCATAGTATTCATATATTCCTATATATATATATATATATAGTCATAATAACATGTATAACTCAAGGTCAGTTCATTACGTGCCTCAGGAGACCTCTCTGTTTCCTTTCAGACACTCATGATGCGGTTTTACGGTTCAATGCTGCACCTACAGAAGGATACGAGAGGGACGTGGGGAACAAAACCACCATCCGCATCATCAACTCGCAGGTCAGTGAGAGTCCAGCCAGTGTGTGATGCATAATAATGAATCATTAATAGATATATGATGCAAAGACCTGTGTCACTGACCGAAACACATGCAAGACGTGGATGTGATGTGGCAAATGATGAAAATATAAACGAAATATGATTGGGATCTACATAATTCTTGACTAATAGTAAGCCTTGTTTTAAAATTGAATGCGTTTATTAGTGAGTCTTGGATAGGCTAGCTGTTTCCTCCCATGTATAGTCTTTATACTAAGCTAAGTTAATTGGATGCTATGAATAAAGATGCTTCCCAAAATGTTGAACTCTTTGCCTTCGCTTTCTGGCTGTGAAGTTGAGTTGAGTTTGGTAAAATAACTTCAATATGCCATTTTGCTTGATACTCGCATGCATACATAGATTTAATTCTTCACATCGTGCATCCCTCTACAGATTCTGGCAAATCCTAGACATCGATTCAACACGAGCTCCATCTACAAGAATGTGACTCTGGTGGCCTGGGACCCAGCGCCTTACACTGTCAACTTACACAAGGTTTGTTTTTGTCTTTGTCAAATGATCCACACGGCAGCTCATTAAGCTGTTTGTTGCACTGCTTCCACTTGCTTCTGCGAGCTTTAAAAACACAATAAAGCGGTCTCAGTAGAAGATGTGTTCACTGTGAGACCGAGATGACGGTGGTGAGTGGAAGGAAAATGTTAATGTATTCAGCCCATACAATGGATGGAAAGGTTTCGCTAGTTTGCCACTCCACCATAGGGACCACAGTGGTTTCACTACTGTAATTGACCCCGCCCCCCCTCTGTCATATCCGCCGTCTGCTCGCATCCATCTCTGCCCCCTCGATCCCTGACTTCCACCTGCCCTTGAAATGGCTGGGATTCATGTTTGCACGTGTTTCCTGAAGCGTGTTTTTATACCGACACACTCTTCCAACCCCCACCCCCCCCACCCCACCCCTTTTATTTTTTTATTTTTCATGCTTCCTCATAACTGTTATTCGGGGAACGATTTGCTGGCACAATCAATAAGATTCTAGACTCCTGCGAGAGCTGAAGCAATCAGGTTAACAACGTGAAAACTGCATGATGCGATTAAAATTGATATGCATGCTGCAGGTAGCTTTCTCTCTTAATGATTTAAATGATCAGGCCAATTCCTGTTTTATTAGAATATTAAGAAACTTTCTTGTCTGTTCTTATTAACTTTCTGTCAGCATTTATTTCTTAAAGGTTAATAATAAAAGCACTTGTCCTTTTTAATCAGCAGGGCTTTAACCTTTATTTCTCTGGAGGAGCAGAGGCTGTTATAGTGCACGCTTGTCACCTTACTTACTAGAGGAGTATCACATGATGCAGTGTCTGTAGATGGAGGGGAAGCATTTCTATGCCATACTTGAAACAGGTAATTTAAGCAAAGATTACAACAAAAAGGCCAATTAGTGTGTGTGTTAGTGTGTCACTAAAAATAGCCACAACACAAACGACCATTATGTAGCTCTTTGGTCCTTCACAATACCAAACAATAGACTACCTAAAGCTGAACAAAGAGACCACAACACAAAAAGCTGTCGGAAAGGATTTTTGAAAAGAGAGTAATGGGATTTCTGTAAAGGACATGATGTCATTCACTTACACCTAAATCTTTTGTATACAGCTCCAATATTTTGTCCTCTGCCAATGCCAGTAACCAAGTATATTGTTGCTGGGGTGTATTGTTCTATCACCTGCTGTGCCTCATGGTCAGTCTGTCTCCAAGTCTTGATGCTTTGCTTAGCATTGTCACATCTTCCATCACACTGGTTTTTGTTTTGCTGACAAATGATTAAAAATGATGATATATATTTTTTTTTTATTGCTCTTAAATTAAAATGTGTGTTGCACAGTCGTGACTGTGGAGGAAAGTCCAAGACAGTCGGGCCTCCTTGTACTTTGGTCTTTGGTTGGTCAAAACACCCCAAGACTTGAATATTCCCACCACCATGTTTCTCTGTCGGTTTGATTCTCTCTCCTTTTCGTCTCCTTACACACTCCCCTCTGTTACTGCCATGAATCTCAAACTTGGATTCATCAGTAAATATAACATTTCTCCTCTCATCCACTGTGAAATTCTGGTATTTCTTAGCCCACCTCAGGCATTTGGCCTTGTTTTCCCTCCTTAGAAGTGGTTTAGACACTTGCTTCTGCTCGCTCTGTATTTAGTAAATTCTGTATATATGATGATGTTGCTTTTCTATCTTACCTTGATGCATTGATCTTCTGATGGCGTGGTCACTTTAGGTCTGCTTCATTGTGCTTTGGATACAACTGATCCACTTACTGCAAAGCGTTTTAGAGCTCCATGAACTGCCCCCTCATAAAGCTTTAGTCAAACCATGATTTGATGCTGAGGAAGCCTCTCTTTGCCCAGAATAACAATTTGACTTGTTTTGTTGCTGTTTTTCTCACTATCACAATGTTACTTAATAAGCAATGATCTGCTGGAAGCTCGAGGCACAGCCTTATTTATAACAGGTGAACACTGGCTGCAAGTTGTTACTTGAACAAACCTCTGGTGATAAGATCAAATCAGGGCTGCCAATGTCCTTTAACTGCAACTGCCAGAATGACTGGGAGGATTTAATTATGCTTAATGGGCTCTCAAGTACCCATGACATTAGCAGCAAAACAACAAATGTGACAAACAATAAAAACAGATTCCGGTGTGATACTAAATTGCCTACAATGCTAAAATTAATGGCTTGTTCCAAATAAATACAATCCATGTATTTAGTGTCATTAAATGTATTATATGTTGGATGTACTTGGTACTTCATTTAACAGCAAAGTCATGTATTATTCGTGCCAGTTCTTCTATGGAAAAAAACTCTATTTCATCCAGCTCTCCTTATATTATGAAAAACAACAAAAAGGATATAATGATTTGATCTTCTCCGGTGTCTCTGTTTAAAGAAGGATAAATTATGGGGTGAGCTTTTCTTTTCTTCTTTTTTTTTCTTCCATGACTCCATTATAACTGACCTTTACTTACATCAGTACGTGACACACTGATTACATCATTCTGTCCATTGTACTGTACCGTATGTTTGGTAGGTACATATGAAGAATTATAGAATACAATAAGTTGGGGGGGGGGGGGGGGGGGGCAGAAGTTCATACAACTTGTAGCTGGAGTTAGAATCTGTTGCTTGAGGATAGTGGTGTTTGTTGTTTGTATTATTGCCCTGGGTACAAAGGATCTCTTGTTCATATTTTTGTTTTCCAGAGGTGTTCTTTAACATCCACCAGAAGGCAGTTCTCCAAATGCAGCACAGAGGTGTTCAGTGCCATCGATCATAGGCAGAGCTTTTCTCTATACAGCAGTGTTGTTCTGAGCATCTCATCATCTTTTTTTTTTTTTTTTTGTCAGTTGCTTAAAAAATGTTCAGACTGTTTCGACAACTCTAGGCTGCTTGTTTTCATTTTCCACAGTCGGGTTGCCAAACCAAACTGAGCTGTTAGACACAGGGACGCTCTCTGTCAGGATAATACAGTGTTTCCTGTATATTCTGACTGACTCCAAACACTGAAGTGTTTTAACACGAAATCGTCTCGGACAGGCTTTCTCTAACATAGGTCAAAAAACGATTGGGTTTCTGGAAGAAACTTTTCAAGGATCGTACCGTTGTGCAGCTCAGTCATCTGTATAACACTTTCTGCTGAAACGCCGACCTGGGGGGGCAAGGAGACATCATATGGTCTTTGGACACAAACTCACTAAGGGTTCTTACCTACACGAGGAAACATACTGCACATGCACCGCTCACATCCTCTCACAGCACACAGGACTCGTGAACCTTCTTTTCTTGTCATTACAGTATGTTGGTTATTTTGGTAAGTTACGTTAACAGTGTTTTAGTTCTATTTTGTTCCGTGCATGTCGTGAATATCATGCATTATTTAAGAGTAACAACAACAAAAAAACGTGTGTGAATAAAACATCACCTTGCAACTGACTGTGAAAGAATACATAAATAAAAATCAAATGTAGTGCAAGCCACTGCTATTGTACAACCACCCTGCACAATACGGAACGAAATGGCAGTGAGAAATGTTTTACCCACAGCGTTGGGTTTTTCTTAGTTTTCTTGGAAGAGAAGTCATAAAAGTAGCCACAACTTCCAGATGTGTTAGGGTTAGCATCACGCATCTCTCTGTTATTTGTTTTAAATCCCTGACATTTTCAAAAAGGAACATTCTCCATCTCAGTCGCAGACAGATATGTACATGTGTATATGTACATGTGTATATGTGCACTGGTTTTAGACGATCTCATGAAAGCAAACTCTGTCAGGTCTGAGAAGAGATCGGAAGTACCCAAAATGAAAAGAAAGATGTTGATGTCCAAATCAGATGAACGACTAAAAATGATTGTTCTCTAGCTCAGTTAAAATAGTGCCCAATTCTATCTGTAGCCTTTTATCTTCTTTCTTTATATTATATTTTTGCTGAGCGCTGTGTGTTTTCCCATCACAGCTGACACTTTTATTTCCACTTAGCAATCAGTTAAATTGTCTAAATTACAGAACACCCATATAAACACATAATTATGCTAATTTTTTGTTTATTTACATATAATGTGAAGTGAGTTCTTTTTCAGATATTTCCACTAAGCTGAAGAAGCCTCATCCAAGTCTTATAAGATGTATAAAAATACTCTCCTTTGAAAACTGAATTGTGTTTGACGTCATTGAAAAAAGTTCAATCACCTTCTTAAAACTTCACCAAAAGGTGTCTTTTCATGAGTTTCAAGTTTTCACATCACACTTGTTTAATCTGCATATTGGGTCATGATTAGCTCCGGACTAGTTGTGATGCTTTCATGTACATGTGTTAAACCCAGATTTAAGGTGAGCACAGAGAAGTGTCCCCCCTTCAGCAGATGAAAACAGCCCTCTAGTGTCAATCTGCATACACAGTGCTGTGCAAAAGGCATTAAGGAAACTGGCTGCATGGCTGTGGGCACACAACCTGTTCATCCTCTTGATAATCTGTCATTGTGTGGTGGAAGTGATACGTAGGGGGATTTAAACCCTGGCACTTTGACTAAACCATATTGATGTAATTTTTAACATTTTAAACCAGAGAAAAGTTCAGTAATGATTAGAAGAATGAGAATCAGTACAAAAAAAAGACTGTCACAAGACTCAACCTCCCTGTTGTCTAAACTGAGGTGTTTCCTCTGCTCCTCTCTGTCTTGTCAGTGGTATGCCAGTCCAGACTACAACCTGTTTGGTCCTTATGTGGAGCACCGCAAGCTCCATCCTGGCCAGCCATTCTACATCCTTCATCCCGGCTATGTGTGGCAACTCTGGGACGTGATTCAGGGCAACACTCAGGAGAACATCCAGCCCAATCCCCCATCATCTGGCTTCATAGGTCAGTACACACACGTACATGCATATATACAGTCAGTATGTATGCGCTGTGCGTCTGTTCTCTCGCTTTTCAGCCTCTGGACTCTTATCTTTTCCTTGCCTGCTCCTGGAGCAGATAGAGACACAAACACACACACGCACACTAACACACACACACACACACACACACAGACACGGTAAGACATGATGAAATTTTTATCTTCAATATGCACAATGACATTATCAGCATGCAGTATAGCCATGCGATGTACTCCAAAGCAGCACATCCATGCAGGGGGTGGTGGAAATGTGCCCACTGTAAGCCCATCTTAGAAACTCTCCAGCATGTCAGTATCGACTTCATGATGGTCTCTTTATGTGCTTTTCCCCCTCACACGGCCACAAGACACAAAAAAAACATCCAATTATGGCAGGAGCCCTACCTGCCCGAGGCAGACCCTTATTATTATGGTTGATCCACTGATTCTAATGATATTTTCACTCCCGATGTTGAATGCACAATTAGTGCAATTTAACAATTGAGTAAGGTACACCTTTTGTAATCATCAATGGATTTTGTACAAAACAAGTCGGCTGTTATATCTGAAAGAGATGTTTTTCTAGGCTTGTTGTTGTTGAAGTTGGATCTCTCTAGCTACATTGCTAGCCACAATCCGCTTCTTTTATGTATCAGCAATGTAGCTGTAGATCTTAAATATCTGTTATTGAATTGGTATTGGATATACTGGATGAAACCGAAACAGTTTTTTGTCACTTGCACTGACTTATCACCACCTTTTATGTTAATGTGGCGAACTTGTCAGCAAACAGCAGCTTCCTCACATATCCAGCAGATGTAGAGCAATGTATAGTATTCAATTTGATTGGATTATTTGTTTATTTAGTTATTTTTATTTTTATCTCAGTTTTTTGTTTCTGCCACCTCCGTAGAGAGCTGTCCGTCTCTTCAGCTGCTAAATTCTCCCCTTTGATCACCAGCTACTTATTAACTGTGCTAAAATAGTGGGTTTTAAAAACAAAAACGAAAATAACAATCTGAGAGCAGCGATGTTGAACCAGAACAGTAAAGTTTTGAGCCAGGCAGCTGAACAATGGTGTGAACTCCTTACAGCAGACAGGAGCAACAGATTGAGATCATTGTTCTCTTTAGGTTCATGCTGCATTAGCATTCTAGTTGTATTCTGCTGGTCATCTGTCTTTTAAGCAAAGCATAAGTAGTAAAGCATCTGAAGGGAAAAGAATTTAAAAAGAAAAAAAAACAAACAATCAACCGTCAACAACAGCAGGGAATTTCACACAATTTAACCACAGAGGAGAAACGGGCCACATGTTGATCTGTTTTATCAGCCCTTCAACAAACACAGCTAAGCAGCCGTGCTTCGTTCCAACCCAGGCAGCAGAGCTTTTGTTTGACCTGCACCGGTTCTCAGCCACAGCGTGGCTGGTTTTCTGTCCTGATTGTTGTAACTTATTGCTATTAAATTATCTGCAATCACACTGGCATAAATCAGCAATTGATTACACGCCTTAAATGAGAGTTGTAAGGCTTCACTGCCTGCATCCATATTAATGAAATTAAAATGTCAGCATGTTCCTCGCTTTTGTGTGTACTCCTGCCACGTTACTTACATGTTAGACTACCAGTGCTGTAAATTAGACAGCTTTATGATTAATTCTGTTATAAAATGTATGTATATATTAATTAATTTCAAGCCCGCCCCCTCCTCCCCGTCGCCTGTTATTAAAGACGTGCTCATCATTTGCGACCTTCTCTTTTCAGAAATTATAAATTTTCTTGAAAAATAATTAGTCTCTTCCCTATGCCACACATTGCTGCGTAACGGAGGCGTGGTGCAAATGGCCCAGTGTTTGCTTCCAAAGACATTTATGTGGAAAATGTCATTGGTTCGAAGCAACTTTGTGTATTCAGCCTCTGTAGGAACAGCAGCTAAGCTTTTCTTTTTCACAGGAAATTGGTAAGTTCTAGCATCGCTTGTTAATTACTCCTTTTATCAGGGTGACATCCTAAATACAGGGTTCTGTTCTTGTCTTTTCTAAGAAATACAGTCATTATGACTACAAGAGGGAGGGGCGGCACTGTGCACTGTACTCATGCCATGAAGGGATCTTTCTTCTCTCCACAGAAGGAATTCTAACACTGTCACCAATCAGCCAAAACACAATCATTTCATTTTTAGATTGATATCACACTTTAATTTCTGTTATGTGCGGATATGCCACCTCTTCTGAACACAAACAGAAGTTTTAAACACTGTCTTGTCAGGTACAGGTTTTCAAACATCCCATGAATTTATTGTCAGAGTTAAAATTTCACACAACATCTACTCTTTTTCAGCATCACTGAGAGACAGGTGTGGCACTTTTTTTTTTTTGTGTTGATCATTATGAAAGGGACGGAAATCTCTTGACAGTACTCGGGCACATCAGAGCCTCACATCATTTTGAGTCGTACAGTTCATTTTGTTTCCATATCATTCTCATGAGAACCACCAGCCTCTTTTAGGCAGTGCATTCATTTTCTTCCACAGCAATGATATTCATTAAATTGATTAAATCCAATAATAAAATACAATATTGTCAGCTCTTATATTGTCCCGTTCAGTCAGTAGCGTTGGCATCCATTCACAACTGGAACTGACTCAACTAAGCATCCGGGTGGGCTCAAGTCAGATTGTCAGAAAACATATTTGGCAGCACCCTGCAGTGAGAAGGTCAGCCATCACAGTCTTTGAGGAAAGTAATCACATCTGGAGTTCATATCAAACATGCTTGATATCTACGTTGTGACTTGTGACCTTTTCACTCAGGGCCATTAAATTTCAGCAGTTTCTGTCTCCAGTAGGTTTATGCGTTCCAGTCCTGGTTCTTCTGGGCGAGAACATTGCGGACGAGGTGGAGAAACCCTCTAAATCTACACGTCGTCTGTTGTGGAAAACGCACACATTCGGAGAAGCTTTTACAAATTCCTTAAACTTAGCTCTTTGAGCACGTTGCATCACAGCCATCTCCCCCTCCTAGCCATCACACTGTGTCCTCTTGGCCGACCATTACTCTTTGGCTGTACGTCTTGTTGTGACACATCACAGCTTCTCTCCCATTTCAGACCGGCCTCTCTCCTCCTGGCATGGAGGACACTAAACGCTGATGATATAGGAGCCATTTGGCATCCCATATCCCCCTTTCTTGTGGTCCACCTGTCTTGGCCATAGTGGTCAGCGTTGTCTCGCTTGCCCCCATGGCCTCCCGTCTATAGGGTCTATGGGGTCTATGTTGGTTCTTCTTCTTTGTCCCCGAGTGGGACTACAGATGTGACCAGTCACTGCTACAGAGCTCTTTAATCTAATACAGGTCTAAGTGTTTGTGTCTCACTTCAAGATATCTGATCAATTTTAAAATGTAATGTACAAAGAAACAAAAGAAATCATGCAGCACAAAGTAACCAGGACAGAAACAAACACACACAAGTAGAAAAAAAACAAATATTTGGCTACATGCAGAACGAAATGATTAACTTTAGATATATACAAGTTGTAAGTTAAATGTAGGATAAGGTCTTTGTGTGAGAACTTTTAGGAATCTGCAATATTTATAGTCCGAGCAGTACAGAGGCCGGAGTAAGAGGAAGAAAAGATGGGCATGAAATGACAAATACATCAATCCACTTAGACACTGATTGGAGCCTGGCCATTTACAGCAGCACAATGACAGACTGACTCAACAGCAACAGAGAAAAAGGCACCAGATTTTTGCTTTGTAAAAAGAAAAATGGATGAAAAAAAAAAAACAGTCCATGGATTTCAGAAAGGAATTGAGCCAACATAAATTATATGTGTGAAAGTTATCACAGAAATGTTAAATACTTTAGGCATCACAGTGTGAAGGAATAAAAACACATAAATGCTACAATTCTGAAATCAATAATCAATAACTTCAACCTGAATGTGCAGCTGGGGTCAGGAATCTTTAAGAGACGAGGACTTTGAGGAACCATAAAATGCTCGACCCTTCTACATGTTTTTACCCTGTCTCTCATGTTTACAGAAAATGTGCTTAGTAAGTAATAAGATCGGCAGATTGTTTCATTAAAAACAACAACAATCTAACAACGACAACAATCTAAACCTCGTATATCAACTGACAGTTTTGAATTGATCAATCAATGACTATTGGGATAAAAGCATGTCATGCACTTACAGTCCAGACCTAAAAAAAAAACCCAAGGGTTAAAGACATTACGTGGCCAAAAGTAAATAACAGTTGTATACTTTTGGTCTGGACGGTTTGTGTTTGTCACCTTAGTTCCAATTAAACTGAAACATCAGCATAAGACAATATTTTGCACAATAGTAAGCTACTAACATTTAGCAGCAATTCGAGGAAGACCCTCTCCTGTTTCAACTTGACAAGGGAAGAAAGAAGGAAAGAAAGAAAGAAAGAAAGACTTTCCTTTGGTAATTTGGTAATTTTGTGAGGAAGAGCTCAGCTGGCCTGCACAGAGCCCTGACCTAAACCAGTCCAACTCATTTTTGGGAAGAACTGGAGCGTTGACTGTGAGTCAGGCCTCATCGCCAAACATCAGGGGCTGAATGAGATCACATCCCTGCAGCCAGGTTCTTATGGAAAGCTTTCCCAGAAAAGTGCAGGCTGTTATATCAACATGTAAATGCAGATAGTCGAGGAATGAGGTGTTGAACAGACACATATACTGTATACATATATACACATATACTTGGCCATATTGTGTATAATGTATGGAATTTATATTTCTATGGCCATCTAGTACCTTGCACATGAAAAAATAAATACAAAAACTCAAACTGAGTGGGTGCACACACAAAACGATTCTGTTCTGTACAAACACAAGCTCATACAAATACTACATTTACTGTCTAAATGCGTCAGGCATGAGTCCACGTGTCACTGTAGTTCACATTGTAAGCGCAGTTATGAGGTGTGAGTTATTCGTGCTGCGTGATGACCGTGTTTGTGGTCGGGTTATATTCAGGACATTCAGGCTCTGGTAGTGACCTCGGGGGGGTTGTTTGCCTGGTGGCCGGAGTGCTGCAGCACTGGTTGAGGGCGTCGGTGGAGATCTGGGCGGTGCAGGCCACCGTGTTGCTGTAGACTCTGCGGTTAAGCTGGATCACCGTGGTCTTGGACGGCATGGAGATGTTGCCGTTCTCCGCTGACCAGTGAGCACAGTGGAACAGAATCAGGAAACACCTGTAGAACTGAGAGGGAAAGAAAGATAATGTGAACATAATGTAAGCCCACCAAAGTGCGAGTCCTTGGTAACGTCAGAGATGGATTGGCCTTTGTTTCACACTGCCAGAGAGGCTCGTGGCGCAGGTCTGCTCAGTTTGATTAGGCAGAAATCATGTCTAAGTGCACTTACATGTCCTCAGAGTGAACAGATAGTGATGCCTGAGAAGAGAGAATGGTCCCCTAATGGCCTGTTGCACTGGCAGAGTAGAGGCGGTTGCCTCTAACACTTAGTGGTGAGCTTGACCTTTCATTTCTGTTGCATGATGAATTTGTACAACTCGAGGCGGGGCTTTTTCACACACACATGGGACACGACAAGTTCTTGTAAGGGCACCTGTGTTCTGCAGTTTTGAAGGCCATTACTTGAGGACTGTTTTGATGATTCTGATGGCCTTTAACGTGTGCAGTTGTAGAAAACAAACACATTCTCATTTCCACTGGTTCTGTTGGATTGTGCTGTAAAAGCACAATCCAACAAAAGAAGTAGGCGACCCAACACATGGAAACAGTGTGTGTGTGTGTGTGTGTGTGTGTGTGTGTGTGTGTGTGTGTGTGTGTGTGATCACACTGGAGAGCAGCAATGTAGCAGGGGTAAGAGTAGGGTTTTGAGCAGAATAATAACCACAAGAGAGAAAATGATAAATGGAGATCAGCAGCAAAGTACAAAGCAAGGTGGAAAGAAAAACAACAAAGGTAATAAAATGTACGTGGGAGCCAACATCTCTCTGTGCTGGTAACATATCAGTGTGTACAAAAAATACCATGCAGCGCCTGCTGAGGCAGGAAAACCCACTGTCTTCATATATTATGTATTCAGTTCTGTTTTAATCTAAAGGAGGCTTTTGCTGAACATGCATGCTCCTTTTTCAGCACAACTGAACCTCACATTTGCACTTAACAATTGCATGTGTTCCCAAGAACTGCACGGTTTAACTGCAGTCCTTGAATTTTGACATTGTGCAGATCCGGTGGAGATCTTATGATGATAAATGCTTTCCCTAAAGGAGCAAGTGTAGCCGACTTTGAGGAAGGCTATTACATCTCTCTCGACCGGAAAGCAAACAAGTGCATTTCCCAAAACAATTAATTTAACCCCAAACTGCCCCAGTACAGCTGCTTAATGGCCAGCAGATCAGACTGTGGCTGTACTGGGCAATGAAAAATAAAGAACACTGCTCTTTGCTAAATTCCCCTGTTGAGGGTAACAGCAGGTTTTAAAGTAAGCCAGGAGATGATTACAAGTGAATGTCAGAGCTTCTCTTTCTGTTCCCATTGCAGGTATCCTCCTGATGATGGCGCTGTGCGAGCAGGTGCACGTGTACGAGTACATTCCCTCCATGAGGCAGACAGACCTGTGCCACTACCACGAGCGTTATTATGACGCTGCCTGTACACTGGGTGCCTACCATCCCCTCCTATACGAGAAGAGCCTGATCCAGCGGATCAACACGGGCCCCGAGAGTGACCTGAGGAGGAAGGGACGGGTCACTCTCCCAGGCTTCAGCACCGTCGACTGTGACATCTGAGATATGAAAGCTGACATACCTTGATGTACACACACACTCTGGCCTTTTCTGGCTGACTAAGGGAGAGGTGCAATAAAACCACTGGAGACAAAGAGGATGAATCTTACAAGTTTCAAATTAGACCCATGAAGAACATAAGCCATACCCCCCTCTGGGGAGGGATCAGCGTGGAGGCTTCTGAAAGAATTTGTCTTCATCAAGAGGGTTTACCAGACCAGAGACCTGCAGGAGGAGTCTCCGAGATGGATCTGTACAAGATGTTTCTCTCTGCTTTAGCTGAGCCACGTTAGCTGTGGAGCTGACTAGGGTAGCAACAGATCAATGTTTTTAGATAGACAAGTGAATTTTCAATAACTGGGTGTGTTTCAATGGTGTAAAAATCCGTGTTTTTAAATAGTAACGGGTGGTTCTCCACTTAAAGGAAAAGCCACTGTTTATAACGGTGGATATTTGTGATTTTACTTTTCTTTTTTTTTCTGGTCCAAAGGGTTGTGAATAAGCAAAGAAGTCATTCATGCTGAATGTCACAAATGCAACACACATTCACAAGCACGCTGCAGACACATGCAGAGGAACGCAAAGAGTAAAAGGCAGATTTAGTCACATCAGTCATATTACTGTATATTTCATTGCTCTATAGCAGGTGTTCCTGTTTGGCATTGTTCTGATATCTTCTCATGAAATCAGAAGCTGTGTTGCGTGTTACTGCGTGCTATAGTCACATTTTTTCTTTTTACTGAGGATGTAATTAAATCAAAACAAATGGGGCCAAAATGGATCTACAGTACAAACAGGTGCTCAGAACAGCCGTAACCCTGTGCCTAGTGGTCGACTGAACACTTCCCTCGGGTTGCCTTGTGGCTGTTTGGAAACATGCACTAGATACTGAGGCAGGACTGCAGTACCGTGCAGTTTGGTTGGCATGAGAGGTGCGGAGCAGTCTATATCGCTGAAGTGATCTGTGTCAGGGGGATTCTCAGCTCTGCCCCTGCAATCACCAGCCCCTGTTTTTGACGGTCAGTTCACTCTTTTATTGAATGTAATTTTGCCACAGCGTGGAACGGCCAAACCTTTCCTGAAGCTTACTACTGCAGCGTGGGTCTGCGTATGTGCAGCTCATTGCAGGGTTATTTCCTCGTCACATAACAAGCATGAAGCTCATTTCCTACAACTATAAATGTCTCATATTCTCTGAATCCTCTGATATTGGTCTGTGCCCTTCCACAGCTCAGAGTAAAGATGATTATAAAAGAGGAATTTGAACCGGTAATATCATCAGATTTACTTTGTCTCCTCCAAGGAAGACTTTTATGTTTACAGTGAGTCAGTGCCACATCTGCGGCACAATGTAGAGTTATTGGCTCAGTGTAGAAAAGAGGGTTACTTGTGGGTTTTTTGTTTTTTTTTTGTTCTTGTGTTTGTTTTTTCTTTGCCGCAGACATGCAGTCAGAAAAAATCTTGCCTATAACAGAGATTTTTATTACTCGCTGTGCTATTTTACAAAATGTGCTTGTGCCATTTGGTTGTGGTTCAGTATAAGTTGTGAAAAACGTGTCACAGAAATGTTGCTTTGAATGTTGAAGAAGATGGCTCAGTAGTAGTTGTAGTGGTTGTAGTTGTATGTAGATGATTCTGGGGTTGGTATCATTCAACAAACTCAACAAATTGAAGGAAAGAAACAAGAATTTGACCAAATATTTAGCGCCAGGTTCCAATATTTCATAGTAGGGGTGGACAATATAGGTAAAATCCTCTATCATGGTATTTTATATTGTAACACTGATATACTGCATGTCATTATTGAAACTATGTGTTGATGAAAGAACCAGACAGTTCATTAAAAAGTTAATTCAGTGAATTGCATACATGACAAAAGTACTTCATCACATTGATGCAAAATTCTGCAAATCGAATATTACCGAGAAAGTAGTTCTCCTCACTGACGTGCAGCATCTCACACAATGGTTAATACATTGATTAATAGCAGTTGACAAGTTATGTCGTAATAAGTAAAAGAGAGTTTCTGATACTCAAGGCTCGAGTACTAAAAGTATGAAGGTTTGATACCCAGCCCCAGTTTCATGTTGATTATATGGCATGTCATTAGAAGCTGCTGTGGTACAAGGACCCCAGTAAAGTCAGAAATTCAGCAACTGTTAGAGGACTGTACCAGAGGTTTACAAAATAGACGCAAAGAACCATTTTTGAAACATAAGGAGATTTCAGCATTAATTTAAAATCATGCAGGTTTTCAGCTCTGCTGTAGGTTTTTACGTTTCTCTGTCGAGATAAATTACTAAATGTTTTAGTACTTGTGATTGTAACACACTGAAGGTGCAGAAACCCTGAACATATTGTACATGTATATCTCTAATCATTTTTGATCACTTTCCAATGCACAGAGCATGCAAGTCAAGATCAGGGCCGAGTCTTAAACTGTCTGTGCCGTACTGTGCTGCAAGTAGACACCATTGTCATTAATGTTGTGAGAGGCGATTGTACTATAAGATTTTCTTTTTCACACACGGTGTTTTACAGATTTTAATGCATGCTTGTGGCCAGGGAAATCACATCCAGCTGCGGTGCAGGTATCACTAATTCCCTGGATGCACTTGAGTGAGTGCAATTTCCTTCTGGCAACTTCATCTTCACATCTTAATATTGTGCCAAATTCCCTTTTAATTATGTCTCAGCTGGGCAATTTAAACCCGGGATGAGGAAGTAAAGTGATAGCAGGACCCCTATGGTGCTTCTGCTTTCTCTGGGATGCTTAAGATGAAACATAAATTAATTTTTGATCCTCTTCAATACAACAGTTTTATTGCCAGTATTAAATACAGGACATTGTAGTGAAAGTTGACATTAACTTTAATGTATGACCACGGATGAAGCGGTGGGATGAGAAAACATGCTACACTGTTTATTACTTTTTGGCCCTCTCAGCCGCCTCCTCTCAGCTCCTTACTCTTGAGGCCTATTTTTCATGTCTGGTGTTTTTTTTGGTTTATTTTCAGTTTTGTTGGAACTGCTGCAACACACACTGCCTCTGGAGGATTGCTCAACATTTTAAGTTTTTAAAAAAAATTTTTTTAATACATTTTCCTCCTGCAGCATTCCCCAAATGAGGAAGAGAAAAAGAAGCATCCATAACTGAACATATGAAGAGTGAAGGTCGTGTTTCACTCCCAACAGCCTTAGGGTGTTCTTCTTGACTTTGATTTGTCAGTGAATTCTCCTCTTATTACACTTGAATTAATATTTAAATAGACCATTTGTATGATTTCAGCTGTTGTAATTTGTCTTTTTTACTGTGTAAATAAAGCTGTTGTACATGTCAAACTGTCCTTGATTTTCAAAATGATGACTTTGAGTTTGGACAACAAACACACACACACACACACAAACACACAAGCATCACACGTTTGTTGACTTACCTGTTTATTCATAAGTATGTAGATGAGAGGGTTGATGACGGTGCTGCTCTTGGCCAGTAGCGAGGGCACCACGCTGGCCACAGGACTAATGATGTTGGGCGGACCGAATGTTGCCATCATGGCCACGACACCATAAGGCATCCAGCACAACAGGTAGCAGGCGGCTGTGGTCAGAACCATAAACAGTATGTGATACTCTCTCCTGCGGGCTGCAGTCTTTCGGATCTTGCCCACCTGTGCATGAGAGTAGGAGAAAGTGATCGAGCTGAGATGTTTTGATAGTTTGTTGTCTTGATTCATTTCCATCTTTTATTTCCTATCTTTCAAGGCAGCTGATGGTTTTCTGTCTTTGTACCAAACTTGCAGGACAAACTTGAAAAATACATGTCACATTTAGGAAGACTCCAGGTTGAATGTGCATTCAAGGACGCTCTGACTTCCAGCAGTCACTGAATGCACCTGCTGTGTTGCTAATTCAGAGAACAACATACGCAGACATTTTAAAAAACTGATGAACATGTCATCTGTGGGAAGGCATCGATATAGTAACAGTTTTCATTAGTTCACTGCTCTATTATGCATCAATAACAAAAGAGATGCAAAAAGGCAATGACTTGTTAATTGTAACTATCTGTATATCTATAAGATAATGAAATCAGACAGCAGAAAATCTAAACTTCATACCCACACACTGCTACCTTGTTTCCCTTCTTTAATTCTACACAGAGAGGTTGATGTTTGGAGCACAACTGGTCTTCCTCAGTCTGGGAGGAAGATTACTGAGAGGACTGAGCAGATTAGTAGCAGTAACCAAATTCAACAAATCTACTTACACACAGGCGGTCTCTTGATATATATATATATTTAAAGCTGTATCTTAATCCTAATCCAATTAAAGTTCTCTTAACATCACTCTTTGGATGTCTTCAAACACAGATGGCTCTTCCTTAATCTTAGCCCTTCTTTCACCCTTCTGTTATGTTGATAAATTATGATGATGAGTTGGACTGAAGTGGGAGACTTTTCCAGCTCACTGCATGATACATGCAGATACTCTATGAAACCCACTAAGCCCAGTTCTTTCTCATAACTTTATTTGAGACTCCTGCGCGCCTCATGAAAATGATCAGTTTTGATGGGATTTGACCGAGACAGAGCCAGCAGGGGCTCAGCTCCAATCATGGATGATATAACTTCAATAGCATGAAATAGTTACTCATACAGGAGATATCCAATAAATTCCTATTCAAGAAGCAAGTTGAAAATAAAATTCCCCCCCTTTTCTGGTAACATTGATGTTTTTCTTCTCTCATCATTCACTTTTACACTGAGAAAGTAGGTGAGGGAGTCTGTTGTTGCATACCTTCCCACAGTAATGAAGCGTTATTTCAGTTCCATGGATGTATTATCTGAAGCAGACACTGGCAATTATTTACATGAGTGACAATTATTTGCCCAGTGCATAAGCCAAATCGTTTTTCTAGCTTCTGGGTTTGCTTCCACATTGTTCGGCCAGCTGCACATTAGTGTTTCTATTTCTGGCTCCCTCTGCGCACTCAGCTCAAGGATTTTTCATTGAGATGATGTCACACACTTAAAGGTACAATATGTACCTCTTCTGTATTGCCATAAGTGGTCATAATGGACATTTGATCCAATTTTAAGCCACATTTTTAGGATATACTTTTTTACATTTTTGTCGTTTTAACTGTATATTTCAACCGGATGAAGGATTTCAGTCATCAGTCATTTGGATCTCAAGTTCTTCAGAGGAAGAAGCTGAGCAAACGTTAGCGGCAGCTTGGCTTGCAGACTTCTTAAACTTCTGCAACGATTGACACTGAAGGACCGGGACTCTTAACCGGTAGTAAGGTTTGTTTAAAAGTGCCTTTTTGTAGACTGTGGGAGAATTTTAGAAATATAAAACCATCATGGAAGTCATAATAGAAGGAATAATAACTGACCTTGTTTGCATTTCAAGGTTAACAGATATCTTTTATAATGGTGGTCTATGACTAAAATGCTTTCTTTGTATTGTTGTGATAGCACTGGCCACTGGTTTAAATGAGCAGCCAGGCTGAATGGTGGCATTGTATCCAGCTCTCATACATCCATGATCAGTTCAGACAGACACTGATTGCCATCGGCTGCTTTATTCATACCTCATATCAGTGATTCATTGACCAGGTGCTTCAACACTAGAATCAGCTAGTATCACGCAGGTGTACACACTGGGTTGTATAATCGTACTGGTCTCACTATCACTCTGATGTGATGCAAACTCACACCACCACCCCTCTCTATGTGCAGAGCTTCTGGCATTGTTGACTTTACTAAGCTCATATTTGATGAGAGTGGATTAGTTTTTCCAACTTGTTTTTTCAGCTCATTCAAAGTGTAAAACCATTTGCTATCATTTTGATGTAGTTGTTTCTGTCAGAATAAGACAAACATATTATAACAACATATAGGTTGATGTGTGACACAACATTTTTCAAATGCTTACAAAAAAAAAAATGTACACACCATTACACTATTCTACTTGTGATTTCTCATGTACTCACACACTGTCATTATGAGTCAAATTGGTCTCTACAAGTATGCAACAAACTGGAGAAATGAGGCATTAATAGTTAATAAAAAAGAAGATTTTTTGTACTGAAAACACTAAACTTAGCCACTCTAACTGAGGAAACTTTCAAATGAGCTGTTCGAATGCATTTTTGCACAAGGACGGAGGATTTTGTCAACCATTACTGTGAAAATTTCTCAAAAGAATGGATCTTTTAGCAGCCAACATAGACAGGAGAAATGATTTCAGCTAATACTCAGTCAATATACATATGGCACATAGGTGTTATTTTCAGACAGACTTAATGAGAGCCTGGCCTTTAAATAAGCTGTAAAAAAAATAAAATAACTCGAGACCACGGCCAAAGTGAAATAAATCCCTATAATATAATGTATGATGTGATGTGATATTTCTGCAGGAATGTACAATATATTGTGGAATATAGGGAATGCTTTGTAGTATTAAACATGGTGTTTGTGCATGCACTGAATCACTGTAGTCGCCTGGGCTGACTACAGAGGGGGACCTTCACATATTTGTGGTATCTTACATAAAGAAACTGCTTTCCATCTTGTTTGTTTTGTGATCAGCTCTGTTCACTTTGAACAGACGGATGATGACACAATCAGAAAATGAAATCATTTTCATTGAGTCAACTGGTTAATTCACAGTCTACAAAAACACATCCAGTTCCCACTCAGTGCCTTTCAACTTTTCTTTGCCCAATGATCAGGTAACTTTAGGGTAATAATTTCCTGATCTGACATGACATGAAACTTATTAGGTCTAAAGTGTGTGATGTGTGTTAATGTTTTTGTGTGTAAGTGACTGAACAAAAGTAATGAAACTGAACTGTAACCAATTCATCTTATGTGACCCATACAGAGGTGATTATAGGCCAAGGGCACTTTGCAAAAGCTGCCTTTTGATACCAGGGGTCGGTCCAAACGGAGAAAATGATTTATTTAGGGAAGCCAACAACAACTCCTCCTCCTCCTCCTCCTCCTTCATTATCCTTCTGTGTTTGTGTACTGCACAATCATATTCTAATAATCTCTATATGTATAGCATTTTAAAAACAGAGGTCCAAAGTGCTTTAAAAGACAGTGGATTAAAATGAGAAGAAACAAGTGGCTTACATTTTGTCTGAAGTGGAATGCTATGATAATCCCCTGCAGTGCTAACCCCCTTTACCCTTAAGATTAAACTATCTAAATCTCTGGGAGTGCAAAGGATTTAACTTACTTAAGTGGAGTGAAGTCACTCCCTAAAACTCAGCAAAACTCCATGTACCAGTCAGAGCCATGGATACTTTAGATGTACTTAACAGTGATGAATGGTGAAAAGACGCCTGGAAGTCCAGCTATTGTCCATACAGCTGGATCCACTTACAGTGTGAGGATAATATCATTTTGCTGTGTTCAGTGGGTTATTCTGTGGGGAACTAACACATGTTACCGGTTGGTTTCATTTCATGTATTTAAAAGATGTGTTGTGCCTCGGCTTCCACAAAGTGCACAGTGCAGACTGCGCTGGGTCTGCACTACTCTTTTCATGTGCCCTGATATTTTGCCTTAAAGATCAGCTAAAAACTAACAAAACTGCTTCAATAATAAGAGAAAACTACTAACAACGTTTTCCCTAACCTGCCTCACAAAAGAAAACTTTAAGTAATGAGTTCCCTTGTTCCCTTACTTTGCCGAGCAGTACAGACAGTGTATGTGTGAAAACACCTTCTAGCTGCACTGCACTCTGGTCTAATAGCTGAGTGGAGAAATTGCAGGTGTAAATTTTCTGTGATGGATGCCTCCTTGATCTACACTGTCATCCAAACCTGACATTTGCTGCTGGTGTATTTAGCCTAATTAATTCTTCCATCAAACTTCATTACAGCTGTGCTTAAGATTTCATTGATGTTACATCATCACATCATGTCATCTTCTCTCACTTCTGTTTGGGAGATGTCTGAGATGGATGTGTAGTGTCCTAGGATTTTAATGTGACTGACAGGGAGCCACTGACCTTTCCAATGTGGCACCACAAACATGTCCAACTGGGACATTTCAATGGTGGAGAGGCCCAAAGAGTTTTCAGGTATATTCTTTTAGCGTGCATCAGGTTTGTTGTCACAACACAGTCAAATTGAATTGATGGAGCAAGCCCTATATTTGGGTTGTTTGCTTCAATTTTGGAAAATATCTCTTTCCTCCACTGTGGTGTGTGAGAGACAAATTTCTTCCCAGGAGGAAGCGGATTCTCCCTCCAGCAAGATACAGGAGCTAAAGCAGAAAGAAGCTATTTCTGTAGTCCCAGCGGAGGACGGGGAAGCTGTGCCTTTTTACTGGCTATTTCATGGTCCCAAAGCAGACCAAAAAATTCCTGAAAATGCCTCGTACTCTGCCAGTACTTAGCACAAGTAATGTCAGATGGGAGTAGTGAGAGGCCATGTGCACTTCCAGCGCACAGGCTTGGGAACATGAAAACTTTGAGCATGATCTTGCCATTACCTGGGGGTCTGCAAAGGTCACTCAATACCATATGTAACGATTTACTCTTCTCATGCAATGATCTGTTCATGACCCTTCGGCTCTGTCGTTTGTCTGAAGAGTCATTGTCACAAAAGAGCAATTCGAGCATCAGGGTTCTTTTTCTAGACTCAGACAGCTTTGTTAATGGGTGAGGTCTGTCTAAAATTTATTGAAGATGATGTTGATGAACATAAGAAGAGTGCTTTGAGTCCACCACTCTGCCGCTCCACTAGACACTGAAATTGAAGGATTGCAGTAATTAATGGATGCCCCTTTTCATGGGGCTGCTGGCTGAACATACACTGATTTGACTATTTTAGCCTCCTTTCAAGCTTGCAGTGTTCAATACACAAAAGGTGGATTTTGATGGATAATACATTCAAGTAACGTGTGGTATCGTCTCAAACATCTAACAGGAAAATAGCATAAACACAAGCACACACATACTCTGTACTGTCTCTCTACCTGTTTGACTGCCCAGAGCAGCCTGCCATAGCAGTAGATCATCACCAGGACAGGTAGACCCAAGCAGAAAGTGAAGAGACAGATGATGTAGGCGTGAGACTGGGTTGTCTGAACCGTCCAGGATACAGAGCAGCTTGTTCCTGCCCCCTCTATGTCATAGCTGCTCCAGCCCAGTAGGGGGGGCACTGTCCAGAACAAGGAGTATAGCCAAGAGCCCCCAACAGCCAGCAGGGGCTTGCGGTAGCTTGGCCCACGTTTGTTGTATACAGTCAGAGTGCTATAACGGTCATAGGAGAGGATCACCAGAGAGATCAGCGACACGATACCTGAGGAAGATAGAGAGGCAGAGGAGTGAGTGTAGGCAGCTTTAAGTCATCTGGCTCACCAAGACAATGAACAGAAACATTTAACAAAGTTTTATAAAATACCAAAAATAACATGAAAAAAATAATGAAGACAATACTTTAAATCAGTCAGTGTTTAAAGTTTAAAATGCCAATTCGTAGAATAAAATACTACTGCCTATTAAGGAGGTAAAAACAACATTCCTGGTGGCTGTTATATCCATATATTATTCTTACCTGTAATTATAACTATTACAATAACTTCCCCATATTCATGCTTTAAAGAATCCTGTGATACGATTTCAGACACCCCTAAATTGGGCCGTACCATTTCCTAACCCTGACGTCAAGTCTTGTTTACTTTTCTTACTCGCGTCAGTGTCTCGCGTTGCGTCTTGCCCCCGTGCGTCAGTGATGGTAAATGTAAGTGGCAGTAGCAAAATATCGAGTTGGTTTAACACACTGTACTGTCTTAACCACTGTTTTTGAATGAGATTGTGTGAAGTATCTACAGATGAACGCTGACGTTATCTTGTTTCTAACTTTTGCCTCAAGTTACAGTTTAGCTAACTAATGTTAGCTAGCTGAAAGCGCCGATTCATTTCCAATGTTAGCTTATCATTTCATTACCAATATCTAATGTTGGCAAACACTGGTGCTCAGTCAGGGTTAGGGTTATTCATTTTAATAGTCTTTTGTGTTGGTGTGGTGGCTTAGTTAGTCTCACCTTTTTGGTATTAGGTTTTTAAGAAACACCCTCTTTGTTGTCACTCAGGAGTTTTATCTGGTTTGTTAATTGAACAATATTAAAATACCTATGTGATGAAAGCTAAGTAATTGTATTATCAGTGATGGAAATGAATTAAGTACATTTCAACTTTTTTGGCTTCTTCTCACAAAAAGCAGTGTTTAATCGGGGTCACATTTCAGATGTCTGAGTTGTTAAGAGTCCACCAAATGGTGATTTTCCCCTCTAAACTTCTCACATGGTTTTATTTCCATAAATGTTGAAATGATCAAATATCTCACCAAAAATCATAGATTAGACAACAAGTCTAAAAAATGAAAACAGATTTGTGAACCGGAACTTGTTTTTTCTTCTTTCCTCTCTGATTAATGGTCTGGACATGGTCTGCTGCGGTTGTTTGCGTGTGTGGGTCTGATGTGCCGGCAGTTTTGTTCTTGAATACTTTGTTGGTGAGCCTTGACTACAAAAGTTGTGTGTTACATGCTTCATGGGCTTTTAGTTTAGCAGGTGTTTGGTCAAAAACAACACATTCAAAATTTGACCTGATGGTGGTGCTAAATGAAAAGTCAGGGAATCATCAAAGTGATTACAATTCATTCTGCAAGGGACAACCCAGATTGTACGACAATCCATCCAATAGTTGATGAAACATTTTGATCTTCACCTCAAATGTCAACCTCATGTTGCCAGATGAAAAGTCAGTAGCATTCATCCTCTAGAAAACCATTAATGTCTTCACAAAAATGTATGTCAATCTATCCAATAAGACATTTCAATATAAAATATGCAAGAGAAAATGTCAAAGGATCACCAGCATCAGTAATCATTTTGGAAAAATTAATGTCTATTCAAATTTTTTTTGCCAATCCATTAAGAAGATGTTGATATAAGTAAATAAGTAAAAACATCAACCTGCTGTTGTTGCTAGAGCAAAAGTAAAGGTATCACCAAAGTCAGTTGGATCCATCTGCTGGGAACCATTGCTGTCTGTGTAAAATGTCATTGCCATCCATTCATTAGTTGTAGAAATATTTCAGTGCACCGACTATGCCATCTCTAGAGCTGCTGCATTAGCAGGGCTTAGTGGACACATACACTGTATTAGTCACTCTCTGGGTTTCCCAACTATTTCACATCCCAAACCATCTCACTGAAGTTGACCATTAGAGGTGCATAGAGTGAATTTCAATCAGTGTCTTGTTTGATTGAAAGTAAAACCTGGAGTCAATCAGGAGTGGGTGGTGAAAGATCTTTGGCCATCATTAATGCCCTCTGAGCAGCACTGCCCCTTCAGGGCAAAGTGGAGGCTACAGTGAGTTGCTATCATCCAGGGCTAGCCGGTTAGCGTGCTAACTTCAGTAGAGGAAAAGACATGATAGAGATAGAGTTCACATTGGTGTTGCTTTCCACAGGTGGAGACAACTCTTCGTGAGAAAAAGAATTATGCTGAACTCGCATGCTCAACATTTCTTCTAGACTGGTAAGTAAACACCTGTTGATGCTAATGTTAGCTGTAGCAATAGCAAAAGCAAAACTTACAAAAATCCTCTAACCCTAACCCTCTCCAGCTCTAAAGTGCACTAACAACAAAACAGAACTTGTAATAAAACCCAAGTGTTTATTTTCTCTAAGTCCCTAATTAGTTATTGTCAGATGATAATATAGATTAATTTTGAACCATGGGACCTAATTTAGAAATGGGGCCGATTTTGATAGTGATGCATTTGAAATGTAAATTTAATTTCTTAGTTTCAATCATATTGTTTTTCTTCATTCTTTATCTGTGGCTGATTGAAGCTATAATCCCATCTATGGCATGTCAGTAGTTTTCACATGGTGCACACACATTGTGATGGAGCAGCAGTCACCACAGGGCCCCAGTACTGGCTTTTTTCATGTGTCCTCTGATTGTGGGATCTATGTTGCGTTTCTGCATTATAAAATAGAACAGAGCAAACCAATTGTTCAGAGCAGTTATCATACATTTTTATGGAGGATTAATGCTCGCTGAAACAGCCCTGGCCAAATCTAACCTTGTCACCCACCCGCCACCATTCATATCTTCCTCTCTGGAGCTCTATATCTTTCTCATTTTCTCCTATTTCACAGTGTCATGATGTTACCAACATTTTCCAATATAATTCAAAAACAAGGGAGGACTCATGACAAAACCTTTGTGCAGGACTAGTCATATTGTAATGTGATGGTGATGTGGAGTTCAAAAACCTCTGACATCTGGCATTTGAGGAATGGGGAGTTAGAAGGCACAAAATCCTGGATCTTTTGAGAGGAAAAACAGTTGAAGCATGACAAAATGCTTGAAAGCCTCTTTTTACTGTCACTCAGAACTTATAATATACAGTGAAGATTAAAGTAAATGGATTGCATTTATATAGGGCTTTTCTAGTCTTACTGACCACTCAAATTGCTTTTATACTGGGAGTCACATTCACCCATTCACACACACATTCATACAGCGCTACTACAACAGCACATACCTATCACACCTACACTAACATACCGATGATACATTGGGGGCAGTTCGTACATGAGTAGAGTTCAGGGTCACTTCTACATGCCCCAACTTCAGAAATGCAAACGTTTCCAATTAAAGTAAAAATAAGCTCTTAGAGCAGACATCAAATTTTACAGGGTAATATATTACAGCTAAGGGAGAGATGAATGTGTATGTAGTAAAATGGATAAACATACAGAAATCACACGTACTCTTCACCTTTTAATATTCATGGTCCTCAGAGGCTAAATTATTATATGACATAAAATCTCATATTGACCTGCTTGCTATTACTATCCTCTCACACAACACCAGCATATGGCCACTTTTTTTTACTTTTCCTCCGCTGCAGGATCAAAAACAAACCTTGGATCTCAACAGGTGTCCGATAACATCTTGATTTTTTTGCAGCGATTATGACAGCCTCACAGAGCTGCTAGAGATGCTGAAGACTCTTATGTTCTTGCTCTGATATCGACCCTAATGCTGCATTCTTGTCATATCGCAACTACTGTTCTAACAAGTTTCAAACTTGTAAATAGCATTCATGTCAACACGCCAAGCCATAATTATTTATTAACTCAGATGTTTCGAAAATACTCAACTTGGTATGTAAGTACCTTAAACCCTTATAAATATATGGGCCTCACATGAGCCAAAGACAGTCGTTCACTGTAATTAAGTCCAAGTTGATATGATGTTATATGTAGTGGTAGTATTTTAATATTCACACAAACAAATCTTATCATGCAAGAAGTATACCCAACTCATTTGCAGAAGTGAGAACTCATGTAAAGGCCCTCAAGCATTTTTTTGGGTAGTTGTCTGTATGTAAGTCTATCATGGCGGAGATTAGATTTGGGCCTTATTTTTCTTTCCTGAACTCAATTTAATTTTCATCATCCAACAGAATACGTTAAAGTCTGATGAATATTCTCTATATTTTTATTGTCAATTAATCCCATGACCAAAAACAGCAAGTGTTAACGGTGTAGCCAAAGTCTGATTCAACGTATGTCTCTGTACCATAAACCTCCGCTGTTGTCCCAAAACTATTGAAACACATCAGTGAGCCTCTCACTTGCACTGAGTGACATTTTTGTTCATTTGCGCTATAATGAATTTTGCATTTCCTCTATAATACACAAAATGTGCATATATCCCCCAACAAACGCATTATTTACTCCAGGTTGAGTGACTTGCTAAAAACTACAGTGACCAGCTGTTTTAGGACATTTTTTTCAATTTGCAGTGTGAAACATTTGTCTCCCTCCTCTGTCAGTGAGAGTAATTACACAAACACTATTGAATACAGTTCAATGTGAATAATTCATTATTTGAGTAAATGCAATAGCTACATAACCTACTCCAAATATTTTGCAATCCTACACACAGTATTTCTCCAATAGCCAAAACAGTACAGGACTTTTGTCTTGGTGTAACCTAGAAAATAAAGTATAATGGAAATGGGGAGGTTAATATATTGGAGGTAAAAAGACAAAACAAACCATATGGAGAAAAATTTAAGATGAAAAAAACTGATTAACTCCACCCCCCGTGTTTCTTTCTGAGGATTACATGACTGAAGAAATGAACAACTGTCATCTCATTAAAAATAAAGCTTTTAGGATTTTACATTCTACAATGCCATTACAGCATTTTTAATATCTTTATGTGTTTCAAGCCTGCAATGCCAAAGCCTACATCATTCACCAGCTGGAAATAAGCTAGAATGCCAATACTATTACACAATAGTGATGATCAACATTGACAGGCAGCAGTAATCATGGAATTAGTTTGACTGACTGGAATTAATATGGATTTCATCTGGATGTTGTTGAATCCTATATTAACCTTTGAAAAATTTGAAGTGTTCCTTCCTGTTCTTAACCGTGAAAGAGAAAGAGAAAATCTTTTTGACACATTGCACAGCTAAAAGTATTTCTGATTGCTCTCTTGGTTTAAGAGCTATTCTCTATCTGAAGGATTGTAGCACGTGAACCCCACAATGCTTGTGATAAATATTTCAATTCAAAATGAAAACACAACTAGGTAATACCTTTTAACATTTAACATTTCAATAACCTGTAATGTCACGTTGTGGGTTGATTACTATTCTAAACATGTTGCTGTTTGTGAAACTATCTATTTATAATGAAAAATAGTGAACATACTTTCACTGAATAATTCTTCATTTCACTCTCATGTATTATCATGTAGCTCTTCTTGAATGGCTGGAAAATCTAGGACTTTTAGGATTATTCGAAGCAACATGATGACATATTTGTGGTTCGGTGTTCTTTTTCACACCACAACACCTTCTGATGAAAAACCCAAAAATAATGGATGCGATGCCACTCTGACAGCAGTTGTTTTTCTCCCTTAGGGTCACCCTCACTCTGGCCAACCACTCTACTACAACCAATCTATCTGTTTTTTTTTTAGCTCAAAAATATGTTATTTTATGAAACCGTCTATGACTTACATGTTTTAGCAGCTCAGAAGTGCATTAGAGTCCTACTCTCTACCCTACTGTATGTATATGTGTTCAACATAATGCACACATAGGAGAGTGATGACCACAGCAGGTCATGTCTGAGCCAAGATTTGCAATATCTGTTGTCAACATCCCACACAAGCAATTAAGTAACCCTGTTGTTAAAAAGCCCCTTTAACACATGCATTGTAATCTGTAAATGCGTTGGTCATACACTAAATTATTAGACGAATAAAAAATGTGACATGATGATGGAAATAGATGTCAAGTCAGAGGATCACCAAATTCATCACAAATTATCCTGTTGTGCATCAAAGGCATTACTCGGCAAACGTGTAAAGCTACACTGAACAACTTTAATAAACGGATTGAATAAACATGAGTCATTCTGCATCATGTTGGTCTCTGGCATTACCTTTGGTTTTCTAAATAGACAGACAAGATGATTTATAGAGAAGATGGGAGGGACTTTCTATGTTTTCACTGCTCTCCTCAAAAAATATGACATCCTCCACAAGCCTTTTTAAATTTTATCCTTGTTTGAAACTAGCCTCAGGCAACTGGTGATCAATCATGTTGTTACACATAATGTGTGAGTAAGTGCTCCGGCAAGGACGTATAGAAGCAGCCCCTCTGCTATCTCATCTGAAGGAGAAACAGCAGGGTGCGGATGATGGCCGGGATATTTGTAAAAGAAATAAATAATCCAAGTCAGGTATTAATATGGTTGTTTGCAATTTAACCAGAGCACTTTGCCATTTTCATACACATTCAAGCGTAAGCATGCATCGTTGCACTGACGTTTTATTGTTCTTTTAACAAGGCCACCACTGTGGAGGACAAGTAATGTACTGTAATACTTCTCTCATATAGGAGTACCATTGTGAAAGATGATACAAGATTGCTTGTATTGCTTGTGAGTGTTTTTTTTTTTTGTGAGTAACATTTGTACATTACAAGTACAAAATAGAAGTACAGAATTACATATAAATGAGTGGAGAAACGGCAAATGCAGATGCCTCCACAAAGCTCACTGAATGGTTTGAATGGTATGTTATGGCCTTCTCAGTCACCAGATCTCAACCTGGTTGAACACCTATGGGAGATTTTGGACCAACATGGTAGACATCGCTCTCTACCGCTAGTCTTATATATATTTATGTGTGTGTGTGTGTGTGTGTGTACATATATATACATATATGTATGTAAAATATATATATGTGTATTTAAGAAGTCAGTGTCTCATCAATGTGAAGCAGCATATCTCATCAGCATTTCAGAGTTTTTTTACCAAGTCCTGCAGGTACAATATTTGCAGGTGAACGGCAACATGAAATAAGCATTGTACATAAGCCTCTGATGTCTGGTAACTGACAGACTCACTGGACGTCAGTACTCAGTGTGCACCATCTCCTGCATTCATTATCATGCCACACAAACAAATACTGAGCACCACAGTATGGAAGCCCCAAGGGGAACAAACTCAAAGTCAAAACGAACACTCGCTTACTTCAAAAACACAGTATGAAGTGTTTCAGTTCACTGGAAATTCCTCCCCAACAAAATTCTCTTTTTTTCAGTGAGGCATAACAAAACACAGAAAGTGAATAAACAGAACTTAACTTCACAAGACATACAGATTATACATTTACACAAGAAAGATATTACTATGAAATTAAATGGCGAGAGTTAAAATGGCACAATGATACAGTTGTGTCATCTGATCCAAATGATCTATTAAGATATTATGATCTATTATCTATTATCTATTATCAATCACAGGCCAAATGTATATTGCATGACTAAAGAGTGGATTTCCAGAAACAGACATAATCCCTTAAAAGCAAAGCAAAGAGTGAAAATGGGAGCTATCTGCAGTGTTTGATGTAATATCTTTGGGAGTGGAGTCATATTGAGTGTCCAGTAGACTCAGTAGCAGCTATTGTTGTACAGGAAGCCCAGAAGTGACTAGTTCTCATAGTAGCCACACAACACAACTAGCATGTGAGCCAAGTGGAGTACCCAGTATACATGAACTATCTCAGCTCGGCTCATTTCTTTTTCACTCTTACATTAATGAGACAGAGGATTAGTAAAGAGTCTATTTTTTCCCCTTAGTATTTTTAAACAAGCGAAATCATAACCTCTTTGGCGGAATTAATTAGATGAAATATATGAAAAACAAAAAAGTAGAACGTGGTTGCGTGATGTCACAGGGTGCCACTGAGGTGCCACCAGGAGGATCCTGGCCCCTCTCCACCTTGTGGAGCTATGGCTGTGGCCGTGTTCCAGAGCAAGAACATGTTACCTCTATCTAGTATGGAAAAGATCACAATGTTCTGCCAACGGTAGATTCGTATTTCTGTTCCCTCTGACAATCATGAGATCTTTAATAGTGGAAAAGGGAAAGAAAATTGTGAACCTTTGGTTGTAAAATATGGTGATTATTGATAAGGAGGTGTTGCTTGATTTTCACTGTATTCTGTTAAACAATACCAATGTTATAAGTGAAACAAGTATTGGGTTTCAACTGTAGCCAACCCTGACCCCTAACCCTCATTTCTGAAATGACAGGCCTGGTGTCCAGTTAGCGGTAGTTTGTCCGTGATTGGTCTTGAGCTGATGACGAGAGAGGTGGGCTGTCCACCGTCTTTACATATCCCATGTGAAATAGAACCAACATATCTATACGCAGGCTCAAATGGTGCACCGAGTACCATGTTCTCAGTAACTGACATTCCTCACCTTGTGGCTCCAATTTCCGGTGCCTTCCAGATACATGCATACTCAACCACGCATGTACACACATACTTATTAAACACACCCATATAAATACTCAAGCATGAGCATAAAACATTCTGACATACACACACATACATTCTCACAGTCAAATACATGGATACTTACACAAACACACATACTTTCTCACACTCATGTACATATGTATGTATTTGCATGACAGCCTGTACGTGCAAGTGCTTAGTACCAGTATATATGTAGCCTGTAGCCTATGTGCAAGTGAAGTATTCAATTTTGGCCTAAACTGCTTCTCATACAGTAAATAAATTAACAGATGGTGTGAGGATGGACAGCCATACTCTTCAGAAAACATCATTTATGCATCTAATCGCTTTCCCTTCATTATCTCAGGTTGTATTCATTCTCCTGTGTTTATCTTGTCCATAAAGTGCTGAAGCCTATATGTCCAGAAAATCTACAATATCACCATAAATAGTGCTGTCGTTATGTAAAATGACATATACCACATTTACTTTCTCAAACATACGAGCTGAAATAATATTTTTGCTCGGGCGTCTGAAAAGTGTCAGAAAACATAAAGTACGTACCAAAGCAGGAGTTGATGAAGCCGTACCAGCTGCAGCCGCTGCGCCCCAGCAGCCACTTTCCACGAATACTAGAGGCGAAACTGAGAGTAGTGCCGAACAAGCACACCAGCATGTCACTGACACTGATGTTCAGCAGCAGCATGTTAACCGGTGTTCGCAGCTTCTTGAATTTGCAAAACAGAAGCAGGACGACGAAGTTGTTGAGGAAGCCAAAAGTCATGATGAAGCCCAGCACCACGGACAGCACTACAAAGCCCGCCGGGGAGAGGTTCCCTCTGCCCGCCGGCGTGTCCACCAGCTCCCGGTCATCGCTCAGGTTGAAGCTGTAATTCAGACCAGCCTGACCAGAAAACATGCTGCGGTCCATTCATCGGAGCTTCTCTTCACTCTGGAGCCGTTTTGGTAGTTAAGGTTGGTCACATCGCAAAGTTTATGAAAACCAGCTTCTTCCTTAAGTCTTTCTCCATGCTGTTTTTCCTCTGGGGCATGGGACCTGAGCGACTCAACGTTGTGTTCAAAACGCACATTCCTCCATTGATGTCGAGATCATGCAGCAGCTTCCTACAAAACTGACACTGACACAAAGGCAAAAAGACACATTGTAACCGGAGTGGCACCTGTTACCTTAACGCATCGCGCGTCTCCTCTTCTTTTTTCACCAAATTCAAGTGAGCGCGCCAGCTTCTTTTCTCGCCTTCATATTTTTCAGACAACTGTTATTATTCATCCCAGTTTGCACATGACTCAACCTATTTCTAACTGTTTATTTTATGTTCGGTAAGTCTGTCATCTCCATCTCACTTCTCTTGGATTAATTGTAATCCGTGCTCACACTGGAGGCTCTCGCAGGATGGACAGTTGTGTAAAGTGCGGTCTGCGCCGCTATCCAGCAGCTTTTAAAGGCGACTCTGACGTCACGAGGCATTGGGATGACAGGGGTCATGGGGGATGTGTGTGTGTGTGTGTGTGTGTGTGTGTGTGTGTGGCTCCTTTAATTGTACCTTCATTTACTTTAATTTACTCACATTTTCCTTTAATTCTTTTTCTGACAGCAGGGTAATTATATGATAGATTTGAATGCTGCTTTTACATCACAGGCCTGTGGGGCGCAGGGCCTTCACAGTCATCAACAATCTAGACTGAAATTACTATTTAATTATCACCCCTTTGATTGTAACTTGTCTTACTTTATACATTCAGATTAATTTAGAGTAAATGTAATATCTGTCACTTAGGTATATGTCTTGTTGAGCAACAGCTACAGCCACATTACTGTACATAAATTATTGTTATTACCAGCTTTGGGGGCTAAGCAAAAACAATATTGGATATGAAAGTGACTTTATGGAAGCCCCTTGTTTTTATGTACAAAAGACTCAAGGCTCTCTCTCCTACGCTGACAGTGAATACAAGAGTAAAACAGATTTTAGATTTGACAGCTACGGGTAATGGTGGGATGATTACAAGTCAGTGTGAGTCATACATTCATGTTTGTGATGCAGCAGAATTACAGTATTCACTTTACAAAGGATTCTACCAGGAATGTGCTCTTGCCAGATGATGTATTGTGCTGCTGCCAAAGTGGAACCGGGTCCAGCTTTTTTTTTTTTTTTTTTTGCTGAACGATTGGTTCAACAATTTCTGTGAGTTTTGGATGAAATGAAAAATCCAACAAGCGTGCTGACTTCATGTAGCGACTGACCAGGTGTGTGGTACTGAAAGCCTGAGCAGGGTACAACAAGGTGCAACACTATGAGAAAGTGTGAGCCTTTTCATCATGTTTTGTTCCTCTCTATGGCTGCAGGCACCATGATATTTGGATCATTATTCCCTGGTCTTTGCCTTTGCAATTCTAATGCTGACTACAGAGAGTACAGACAGACGTGCGACCTCCATGACACATCGTGTACCAGCTTCTGCTTTTCACTTGCAGGTAATGATTTTTTTTTTCTCAGGGTTGCTTTAAACACAGCTTTTTATTAAATGATATGTAGTCATGTCCCTCTGAAAATTGAACAAGGTCCAACCCACAGAAAAGCAAGAGAGTTCATTGTCCAGCCATCAATTCTTTGTGAGCTATAGCAAGAAGACCAAGATACATTTGTGTTGAGGGTCAGAAACAACTGGTCATCTAGTTAATATCTTTATGGGCAATTTCTTAATATCTCAGCACAAGAACTTCTGTTGAGGAATGTGTGGGGCTGCTGATAACTTCATTCAAAGTACAGCTTCCTGATAACTTAAAAGTAGGAACTACAGTATTTCATCTTTAAAGAAAATAATCCAAAGCACCAATATAAGGCTATTTAAAGCCTCCAAAGTAGATTAACTGAGAGCGTCACATCCTTTAACAGCCAGCATCTCTTGATTGTATTTTAAAGGGTTTTAAAGGCAAAATTTAAATATGTTGCAGTAACAACTGCAAGCTAAGCACATCCTAATAGTGCAGTGATGAACCGCAAACCTGCTGCAATCGCTGGCCTGAGGCATCTAGATAAATTAACATGATAACATGAGTAAAAACTTGTAGATGATCTCAGAAGTTTCTGTTTTTTCAAGATCCTCTTTTCTTCCTCTGACTACTTCTACTCTTAAGCAGTTTTACGGTTTTCACATTTATTTTTTCACTTAACGTTTTACTTTGCATTACAAAAATATACACATTCTGGCACATTAATCCCACAAAGCACGAAACCAGCAGTGGAGAGATGCCCCTGCTGTCTCTGAACTTTGCAATGTTGTGGAATATCATGATATTTTTTTATATTATGAAATGTATGAGGCCTGTTATCTCTCTTTGATCTTATTTTCTCTTTAACCGGTCATATTTGTTGTCTTGTAGGCCACCGGCACATGTGCTGACATCACATCGAGGGAAATCAGGGAAAATCATGGTAAAAGCTATGAAAAATGGCAAAAGTGCAAATTCAAAAAATTCTCAACAGTAGTAGGGTTAAAGATACATGTTACAACCAAAGAGTGCTTTGTTCTACACTTCATCTTCTCCACCCTTGCCTCTAGTCACAGCTTATTTTACAGCAAATCCTCAGATGAGATCAGATGAGCTGCAGCTGGGCTCATTTTCAACTGTAGCTTAATTAAATAGATACTCAGCTAATTTGAAAAACGTCGATCTTGTGACTGTTTTCTCTACATCTAAACTTTTGAGTGTGTTATATTGCTAGGCATGAAGTAGGCCTATGTGCGACATACTTCTGCTGGCACATCTTAACAGCAGTCATAGTAATAGTGATGGGCCTTTTTCGCAGCAGACATTTTGACTTGTCATCATAGGAAAAGCGCAGGTAAACTAAAAACATTAGCAATGGTTCACTTCCATTGGTGTAACCCAGTAAGCCGTGGCAGTATGACAGTAATCAAACATCATTCATTTTATCATTTACACCTGTGCTTTTCCCACTGTCAAAATGTCTGCTGTGATAAAGGCCTATTGACGAATACATACAATACAGCCAGGGCCCATATTTTGGTTTGGTTTGATTTGATTTGTACAAATATGTACATGACATAATTTCGTTTTATAAATTGTTATTATATTTTGTTAGGAATTGTTAGTGTAGTCATTTCGACCTCTCTCCCCTTTTTTCTCTTAACTACAAAACCCAGATTATGAGATGACGAGTCATAACTAGGACATTTAAAAGGAGAAAACTTTTCTTGGGTGAAAACAGGGAGCTTGGCAAATGCTAATCCACATTTCAAGTAAAAACAGCAGCAGCCTCATGAAATCTAGAGCAGCTAATACACTCAGGATTTTCAAGGACCTTTTAAGCCTTTTAACCAGTAAGAATGATAGGCCTGCATGCAAAATAAAACTGTTATCAAGCTGTGAATTACATAAGTAAAAGTAAAAGTTGTCACCAAAGTTGCTGTACTTCGTGTGGAGAAAAAGAATGATGGTGTTTGAGGAAAAAGTGAAGTGAATTCACATTTTCAATGGCTGTGAATCAGTTTTATTAATTGTTTCAATTTCTATTATTCAGTTCTGTTTCATTACAATACATGTGGAGATCCGTGTGATTACAAGTCTGTGATGTCCAGTCCATTTGATCATAACTGTATTTTTGCTCTGATTTGTCCTCTGGTATATAGTTCCCAAGGTTTTTACTCTCGATGATGTGGCATGGCCCCAAATGACCAGACAGAAGTTCCGTGTTGACTGTTTTCACGCCAATCCCCACAATTAACAGCTGTCAGATGGTCCGTTACCAAACATCCCTGACAGATGGGTTATTCTGGAAATTGCCTCTGAGGAATTTTATCAGCCAATGACATAACCAAATTAAAACATGTCATAAAAAGGTCTAATACCACCTCGTGTTTAATGTCTTTGTTAAAAAACAATCTAAAAAAACTTTCTCACTCATCTTCTGACATTTAATTTGCATTCAGCAGTTCTCTGCAAACAGTTTGCTGTAGGAATGACAAAGGTTTGATAAGACCAACTTGTTTGTAAGAAATTCAGCCTTTGGTAGATGATAAATATTTGTCTTTTTATTTCAGTCAGCTCCAGTGATAATGCAAACTCTTCTGATGTGAAATAAACAAATTAAGAAAAATGCTTTCAAATAATCATGCTGTGATTATCTAGCCTCTGATGCTTACATCTAATTCTGTTTTTTTTTATCATGCAGTGGATTGCATTTTGTAAGCATGTTTTATGGTCTTGAAACAAAACAGTCAACTAGAAAAATTTTGTTCATCACAGAGTTGTTTACTGAGATAATTGTGCTTTGTATAGCACAATTGACCGATGACCTGTGCCATTCAAGACCTGAACAACTGGATTATTCTCAGTTGAGTGCTCGTGTCAGTACCTTCTTCCTAAGCATGAAGTACAAAGACATTCAGGAAATTAACTTCATTGCACTGTCACTGTCCTCAGACCAAATTCATCCAGTTTCCTTCTAATGCATGCAGCTTCCATGTCTGCATCTACAACCTTCCTGCATGTGGGATTATAGTATGGGACTCTGATGTCACTCGGTTGATCCACTGTCTCTCTGCTTATTGGTTATGCAGACAATAAAGACTATTTGCTTTACTTTGCACTGACGTGACGCAACCAACCAATCTGGTTCTAGACTGACTATAGCTGACACATGATATGTATATTATGTATACATGTATATATTATGTAAGTTAAGTACTGTGAAATATGAAAATATCCCAAACACTCCTGTAGATCTTAGCAGTTAGATTTAAGTGCGTGATGCTCTGGTTTCTGTCACCATGTCTGAGACACTTTATTAAACTGATGCAAAACTTTTGGCTTGTGGCCTTCATCAGGGTCATCACAAAACAGTAAGTAAGTAAGTATGAGACAGATAAAATATAAAACAGCCAATCCTATGTTAACACATGCATATCTGCCAATAGGGCTTCTATAAAGATGGGTTGGGCTTATGGTCATGTGGCTGTAGGCCAATTGTTGTCTCAGGCTGGTTGAAAGGTCAAATAGAACTGTCTACATGTATCTGTTAAAGTGTAATAGAAATTCATTTGTGTCTGGTTACGGATGCCCTCTTTACAGCACACCCAGAAACACTGATAATGGAGTAAATTGACTTTAAATTGAGTAAATTGTGCCTAAAGCGACCGTGTAGTACAAGTTTAAGAAGCTATTCTCACTTATTCTGAAGTCTGTAATTAATTTGAAAAGACGGAAGAGAGGAAATTGACAGTTTTTTTTGCTCTCTTGTTTCCACCAGGTGCACTTTGTAGATTGAAGTAATGCTTGAATGTGACATTAATCTCACTTGATTCTAGTATTATAAATTTGTTTGCGTTGGTCAAGTCACCATCTGACGCATTCTCAGTCAACTGGGAGTTAAACTGTAATAATACTTACACAGCATGTTCTTTTATTTATTTATTATTCTACTTTGCTACAGCAGATATTACAACGCACAAGTTTCCCAATTTTTCATAAAGCTGATTATGCACATTCAATGCTGCTTAGTGGTCAACTCAGAAGTCTCAGAAGCCTCCAGCACTAAACAAACATTTAATATCGCCTTTGAATGAAATTAAATTTTATTGGCCCTTGACAAAAAAAGGACACCACTGCTTTAGATAATTTAAAGTTAAATCAAAGATACAGTCAATCACCACAATAAACTGAGAGTAATCATCTGGGAGGCGGAGTGTCATCTAAGAAACCGGATATCAGTATGGACCATATGAGCAGTACTGTGCCAAAAAAAAAAAAAAATCAATTTGGTAACATCATCCTTGTTTATCTTTCAGTCAGAGTGATGTTAAGATGTATTTTTGATGTTTGTCTGGTTGAATTTGTACATGCAGAGACTTAATGTTCAGAGGGTATGTGTGGATATTAATAATCTTAAAGGTCAAGTACAGGTCTGAGCTGGACCAGAATGTTACTCCACACCTAAACCAGCTGTCTACCTCAAATGTTTATTACATTTTATTAAACATCGCTGGGGTTAAGTAAATTATAAAGTATTCTGGATGGAATAATTGTATACTTCTTTTCACTTTGTATGACATGAAAATATGAAATACTTCTTGCAGTTCAATTGCACATTGCTTTCTTTTATTTTCAGATCTCTTTTGACCCCTCTTATTTAATTAAAAAATGATTGTAACCTCATATTCTGACCCAGGGACAGCCTCATGATTTTGGTGATTTTCAGTGTTAATTTTCAGATGTCTACTTTACTTTTAAATATCTTGCTCAACAGCATCAATGACTAAATTTCAGCATGTTGTAAATTTATATACAGTAACTGATATGCTGTTAAATACTATATACAGCCTATAACTGTATAAAATACTGGGTATTTTAATCTAATCCCAATGTAAACTTCTTTAAATGAATCCGCTCCAATATACTTTTCTATAGACAGTATGAATGAGAAAATGACGCACAGTGTCAGAAGCTTGTTAAATCGCGGCAGGAGGGGCGGAGACAGACAGAAACTAAGGGTTTTTTGAAGAAAACCTACCAGCAAGCAGGTTAGCTCGAGAGTAATTTACCGCGGTAACTTACTCAGTTAAAGTGATCTCAGTTTGTACAATGGAAAACCCAGAGTTTCCCTCATCTCAGTGTTAAGTAACTCTGGTTTTCTCTAGCTCTAAACCTGCTTTCTGGAATAGCCCCCAGGCTTCAGTGGCTGAAATGGGAAAATCAACAAGTTACGTTCACTGCACCGTGGAAAGTTTCGGGGGAATGAATGAGCCATTGTGACAGTGTCAAAAAATGACTATTCTGTAACTTGAAAAGAGAATAAATATGATATATAAGTGCTGCAATGTTAGATGATGCCGTTAAAACTAAAAATGGCAACAGTCTTGGTAAAGGCAATACTAAAATAAAACGGTTATTATTTTTGTTATTATTAGAGGCTCGCCAAGTCAAATGAGCGTCACACAGTTGCTGCAGGAAAAGTCAGGCTGCTAAATCGAGCAATGACTAATCGCTCATCTGATACTCCTCGGCCCAACTGAGAGGAGCATACTCCGAGATGTGTTCTGCGTGAAAATGAGCACTTGTTGTATTTTCCCGGCACTTTATAGAGTATAACTGCAAGGCGGAATTCGCGTGTGTTGTTTTTGAGCGGCCGCTGTGAAAGGAAGAAAAATGCGCTGTCTGTTTAGTCGCTTGCTAGCTGGACGTAGCTGATTGCTAATGTGTTGCTAACGGCTAACCGTCTGGGTTCTAGCGTCACTGCAGTTTGTAAAGGTATCTTTAAGATACCCGTGTAAGAAAGAAATGATACACAATATAACTGTCCGTGTAGTTGGGGATAAATGGCGCTGATAAATAAGTTTATTTGTAGTTGTGAATGTTGACACTCCGCAGTGTCGCTTGCCACCTGATACAGTCTGCTACCTGTGCGGTGTGTACGCTGCTAGCCACGTAAACTGCTCCTGCTGGTGTTGACGTAGCAGCAGCAGCTAACTCGCCTGTCCCGTATAGCTAGTTACATTTTGTGTGACTAAGGTGTGCCAAGTCACTGCCAACCTGCCTAAAAAACCAATACATCCTAAAGACCGGACTTCACCGAGGACATGAGCAATCTTAACTCAAAATGCTGTAGCTGGACTTGAACGTGTGACTCGTTGGTGTCCTGGATGATGAAGCGGGTCATCTGGCTGATATCAGGATTAAACAGAAGAATGATGAAGCTACTTTTTGCCCTCGCTTTGATCGCCTACATCGCCTGTAAGTATGCAGATTTGTGTATTTGGGTGTTTCTGACCTGAAACTCTTTACCTTGACTGTCGTCATCCCCGTGTCAGTTTGTTTTTTTTTAAACTATGATATCCAAATTGTAAACTCTTGTGAGTTTAAAGTGACACAACATAATCTTTAGTGGTCAAGCCCCCACAGTGCACCTTGTAAAAATGGTTTGACATAGTTTGAAAAACCTAGGTTACCCCTCGAGTGAGCCATGGTCGAAGCAATCAGGCTCAACATACAGTAAAAATGTGTTAGATATTAATTATGAACCATCCAGTTTTAAAGTGAGCCCATTTTTATTAGGGAAAAAAGTGGTGGCTTGTGTAAGGTAAAAGTTTGTGTTTCAAAGAAAGTTAAACTATATGATTTAGTGCTGAAAGAATTAAATCTGGTTACTTGATGAACAGAAAATTGATTATGAACATGTTTGATTTATTTATTGAATTCATAAACATCATATAACAAGCAAAATGCTAAACAGGTCTCAGCTTCCCAGATGTGAGGATTTGTTGCTTTTCTCTGTTTCATATAATTGTAAAGTGAAAATATTTGGGTTTTAAACTGTTGTTTTCATATTAATATATTGAAAATGTCAGTTTTGGAGACATGTTTCCCCATTTTCTGACATTTATAGGCTAAATAATTGACTAACCAAAAAAAAAAAAAGTGAAGAGCTTAATCAATCATGAAAATTGTTATTATTGCAGCTCTATTATTAGACTTGAAGTAAACCGACTTTGGTGTTTATATATTCCCAAACTACATTTTTTCCTGAATCATCAAATATGGATGCAAACCAAATTTTTTTTGTACATTTTTGTTTAGTCTAACAAACTGTATTTGTATAGATGTTAGATTGGTCTACTTTGCTGAACAGAGTGGTTGATATGAGGATTGTGTTGGGGATGCACAGTGAACATGGTGTCTGTAAAACCCATGTCTTTTTTTGACTTAGGTGATATGGCAACAAACATTTACTAAAGTCCAAGATCAAGCAAATTCAACTCTGACTTAAGGCCCCTTTACACTGTGCGATGTTGCACTGTCTGTGACAAAAATTGACAGTTAGAAAAATGTAAAATCTGTGGTAAATCCTAAACGGTGGTCTTAGATCACACTGTGAGACACGTCTACTCATGGCTAATTAGGAGCTTTGGTGAACAGCTTAACAGAATACATCATGAAATGACATAAAATACACTGGTTGGCACAACATGTTGTATACTATTTTTGAATGAAGTTGAGGAGAAAAAACACATGCACAAACAGAATGGAAAAGAAAGTTTGTGTGACTGACAAAGAGGAAAACCTTGTGGTGCTGCATTTTCTAAATATAGAAGCAGCACAGGAGGACAATACGAGTTGATGACATGCCTACACTCCTGTATGATTTTTTCTATTTTTGAAGTGGTATGACTATCTGACATGCCTCAAACTGATATCATACAATCTGACACAGGTTGAGATCAAGGTATGATTAGTCCCATCTCACACAGTCATTATGGGGTATTGATTGTGGAGTGATGAGGGAAAAACTATTTTTTTCAATTTTAGAATAAGGCTGCAACATAACAAAATGTGAAAAAATTGAAGGGTTCTGAATGCTTTCCAAATGCACTGTACCATTAGTGTCTTACGAAACAAAATTATAAGCTTGGTGACTGGAGGTTTGTTGCAAAGACAGACAGATATCCTGAAGATGCTTTAGGAAATTAAAGCACAGGGTCCTACACATATGATTGTTGATGGAGCAGGTAAATAATTACACGTGGGAAAAATTCAAGTGCATAATGATCAGGGCTAATACAGCTTGTAAAATATAGCAAACAGAGAGCAGAGCATCAGGCCTAGTACTCAACTCCCCCGCCCCCTTTGGTAAGAGTTGAAGAGCCTAATGTCTCTGGGTACAAAGGATCTTCTGATTCTGTCTATTGAGCAGCTCTGTGACAGCAACCCACCACTGACTGAACATACTCCTCTGCTTCATTACGGCAGTATGCAGTGGGTGACAGTCATTGTCCATGATAGACAGCAGTTTGTGCAAGGTCCTTCTCTCTGCCATCATCACCAGAGGGTCTAGCTCCATGTCGACCACAGAGCCAGTTTGTCCAACTGCATCTTGTCTCTCCTCTAATGCTGCCCCACCACCACCATCACAAGATAGAAAAAACACTGGCAACCATGGACTGGTAAAACATCTGCAGGAGTTTCCTACCGATGTTAACGGACCCCCGCCTCCTCAGAAATAGAGCCGTGTCCGCCCCTTCCTATAAAGAATGTGACACTGCTCTATCCTGTATGTCTACTTTGCATTCCTGATGCTGCCATTTTTATGACAAGTTTCCTCTTTCTGTCTTCCAGCTGTCTGGGGAACATATACGAACATGAGGTACAGTAATTAGTTTCTCTATTACCTAACTGCTTCAAGTAAAATATTTGACATACTTTGCAGTAACTAAACTCATTGTCTCAACAGTAGTGCAGTGTTTCCCATATATTATATAATTTTTTCATCAGTTTGTTTTACATCTGATTCCTGCGACAAACAAACTAATCAAACAGCTCTAATGCATGTGGGCTATAAATGATTTGGTATCTGCAGTTCAAAGTGTCAAATAGATAAGTGTGGAAAAAATTCTTAATCTTAGAAATATCAAATGAATCATGAAAAGGTAAATTGACACTTGTTGTTGAATAACTGATCCTCTCCCGAATGACAGATTCTCATAATTGACTCACACAGTGGCTCCCTTCTCCATCTAATACTTCAGCAGACTGGATTGTTAACACGCATACATATATACCTTACACAACACAATATAGCTTCTCCCTCTGTCATAGCTGAACTATGCCATGTCATAACTATAAAATGTGAAGAAATTTACCTGATGTTCCTATTTAAAGTGTTGTAATAAATATTATTCTGTGTGTAAAAATCACAGCTCTATCTTTTCTATTTCCTCTGAAATGCTGTGTGAATTCCTGCAGTGATTGTGCTGATTAGATGTATATTAATGATGTGAAACAGTATGAGTTTGTCAACCATTTAGGCTCTCATAGCATGGTAGCTTTTCCTTTTAGTTGTAATTGGTCATTATTGACAGTGGTGTGAATCAGTGAGCACCACGGCTTCATGGCAGTATTAGATTTTTATTTAGCATTTTCGATGACTTGCCTTGATCAGCTGAATTTGCTAAAAACATTTCTCTCTGTTGTTTTATTCATAAACAGTAAACAGAACATTTCAAGATATAGAAATATAGGTATTGTGATTTAATGTTACATATACCATGATAGACAATGTTATTCCACTTTTGGATGGGTGGGGGTGGTGGGTCATGTGTGGTTGCTGTCTAACAGTGTGCTTGAAGACGAGATATTTTCTCTGACTTTATGATTATGGCTGCCATCATGTCATCCCCCTCTCCTTTTCTCTATGTTTCTCTCATCACAGATCAATACAGGAACATGGAGATATAAAGCTTGAGCAGAGAATTGATGAAGTGAGTAAAATCCCATTTTCACCCAGTTAATCTGTTATCAGATAGTATTTCTCTTTCTCATTGACATATTATTCTGCATTTACTAGAATGTCCCCTTGTAAAGCCATAAATGTGAGGATATTCTATGGCTTTACATTATATATACTGCTTTAGCCTAACCAAGATTTTTGATTGCTCTTAAATAATCTGGTGTAGCCTGGCCTGAAATGCTGTGTGGCTTCAATTTTTTCGTGACCCAACCAATCCTAGTCACAAAAAACATCAAAACATTTTAAACTTCACATCTTTTTATATGTTTGATTTTTGCACATATGTCAAAGCGCATATCAGTTCACTGCTAATGATAATGTCAAAATTCCTTAATTTCTCCTTTTCTGGCTGGTTGTTTCTACTTGCTGTAAGTTAGTGACCCTTGAACAATGTCTAAATAAATTGGCAACCACATTTCAAGAAAACACAAACAAGTGCTCTGACACACTTCTTGTGCCCATATAAAAAAGTAAAGCATTATAGTCCTCAAGGTTTTTTTTTTTTTATTCTTAGCTATGTTCTACATGTTCTAGTTCAAGTTTTTAAATATAAATCTTGGTCTTCATCATGAAAAAGTAGTTTTCATATTAATTTCTCTTTAACTAGCATCATCTGACAATTTAAATGAAACAAGATATGAGCATGTTTTTTTATTTAGCAGACCTTTGCATACTTTCACATACACACATTGCAACTGAAAAGTCAGCCACATGACACAAATTGTAATTGCCTCAATATTGAATCAAAATGTTTGCTTATCATATGTTGCAGATGCTCACTGAAATAATTTCAGTTTGTTATCAGGTTGACCTTAGAGTTAAAAGTGTCGGCTTGCCTGTGAAATCCATCGCATTGCTGTCTATCTTACAGGCATTTTTCTGCTGCTCTGAAATCGTTTTGAAGTAACTATAATGATAACTCCACATCACGATTATGACAAGAAATATAGTTTGCAAGAGAAACTGTTAATTTATTTACACAGAGAAATTCGAAGGTGACCGAGGAAGCCAGGTTTTACATCTGTGTTCCTCTATGTAATTTTAAAGGAAGAATGCTATCATCATTTACTTCATTAACAACTGATACAAGGACAATTTGCATAACCTTTTTCTTCAACTAACCAAAGTCTGGATAACCTAATCTGAATAACCTTGTGAAATGTTCATCTAAAGGGGTTAAATTGATGATTTTTGATGTAGAAATGTTTTGTCACCTGTGCAACTTAGGGTCATGCATTCATGTCCAGCATGTTTCTCCTTCACACTTTTATCCATAATAGACATAACACATAGTATACAGTAGTGGTAGTATACACTGTTATAGGCTCCATTGTGCTGCACAAAAAGACAGACGAGGCTCCTTGCTGTCAACTAAGGTTAAGTGAATGTGGGAGTCGTCTTTTTGAGCTAATTTATGTAATGGTAATGTAGGCCCTTTTCACACTTGGCATTAACAGGTGTCTTGGGTGATCTGATCACAAGTAGACAGTATGTCAGTTCACAGCTGGAATTAGAATGTGTCTCCACTCGCATCTCAAGTAACTACTCGTGATTGGATCTGACATCTCTGCTCTATATGCAAATAAACATGTACATCATTTCTGTTTGTGATTACCAAATGCATTGTTGTTCTTCGCCTGCGGGACAGCAATGCACTTCCCATGCCTAGTCTGCCAGAAATTAAAGAAAGAAGAAGAAATTAAAACAGTACAGACTGTGTGTATTGTGTTCCAAGCAAACCAAATCACCCAAGATGTTTGACACACTTGTAATATATGTCTATCACCTGAATTTTTCATACAGTGTGTTTCATGTGTACTCAGTTCATGAGAATCCATTATCCATTTTCCACTAAGAGAATCAATTTTTCAATTCCATTACATGCCCGTGGTCACACCTTAATATGATGCTGTTGGCGCGCAAATTAGTATGTACCTCTAACGATGTCAGTTGAGTAGACAGTCGTTCAGTGTGGCCCAGGATACATTCACACACACACTGCCATCTCTAAATGTGGTCTTAGCAATCAGATCTCAATGCGTCTTGGGTGCCTTCGTACCTGTGCTTAGAGTTGTCCACTTGTGATCAGATCACCCAAGATGCATATTAATGCCAGGTCTGAACAAGGCCACAGAGATATTTGGCATGAGCAAAAAGCGGATCTTGCTGTTGCTATTGGGCTCACCATTTCATTTTAATGTGTCAGAGCTAACCTTCTGTTAGCCACTTGTCCTTTTTGCAAAGAGATCCCACTATACTTCCATTAAGAAGACCCCTCATTATGCTGCCTTTGCAGGTTTACACGGAACCATAATGCTGCACCAGTGTGTGATTTTTAGATAGCATTGCTGGCGTTTTGGAATCAGAGACATGACGTAACACAACAGCGTGTTGGTGTCTGTCCTGTGATGCCAGGTCTTTTTCACAGAAACAGCGAGGCGGAATAAAGGCACAACATTCCCGCCTCTAACAGGCAGTGTAAAAGGGGCTAAAGAGAGAGGAGGGGGTGTAGAAAGTGGCAAGAAACTTGATTGTAGAGTATCGGAGGGAATTGTCTTCTCAAATGTTTCCATATTTTTTCTAATAATATTAGTTTGTTTTGACAGGTTGTTGCTTGTTTTATACTTCTTATATAACGTCACTTTTCTCTCTTGTTTGAAGGTGGATTGGTTGGATTTTTTTTTCTTTTCACAAATTTCATACATGTTTGTGGTTAAGGGCTACTTAATTGAATGAGCAAGAAAATGACATGAATTTAACACCTAGTTTACGGTATATTAACATGCTGATTTGGTAGCACAGTACGATCCATTTAATATTTAGCAGGAGGTGACTTGTGCTCCTATCTCACATCTGTCTCACTTTTCATCTCACTTTAGGCTGTGGCTCCTCTCAGAGAGAAGATTCGTGATCTTGAACAAAGGTTTGTATGTGTGCTTTTGTGTACAAATGTGTACACACACTCAAAACTAGTGAGTCTGATCTGCGTGGCTTTCCTCCCCATTTACCAGATGTTGAAAAAAAGGATACAACAAAACATATTGTAATATTAGACGTCATGTGGTGCTTGTAACTTCTTCATGCATCCTGTCCATGAATGACGCCATTATTATTTGTTCCATGTTCTTTGAGATGTTAATCATTTGTGTCACATTTTATGCCTTGAATACTATTGAGGCAGCAGTGCAAAGGCACTTGTTTAGATGATTGCATCCATGTGAGCTTAGGGATGGGAATCAAGAACTGGTTCCAAATTGTGCCAACCATTGTAATCGGATACCTCTGAGCTCATCAATTCTTTTTATCAACGCTGATAGGCAGAATCGATAATGGCATTGGTATCAATAAAATCTCATCAGTTCCCATCCCTAAGAGAGCCCCATGTTCTTAATCTACAACATGTCAGAGGATTTCAAGACCCATGGAGGATTAGGGGTCCATATAATCCTCCTGAAAAGCCACTGTGGAGTGTTACAGGTGAATTGTGTACAACATTATGCAGGGATAAGCATATTGATGAATGGAGCCCAAGGTTTTCTGTTCCATTTCAGTTACTGATGGTGCATACATTCTGCTTTGAGATGTCAATTATTTGGGGTCATCTTTTACTCATTTATTACTATTAAGGCAACAATACAAAGGCACTTATTTAGTTGATTGCATCCAAGAGATGTTCCTAATTTGTGCTCCTTTCTATTAATCTTTGAAATGTCACGGACCCTTTAAATTGTCACCCTTTCAAAGGGTCCATGTAATCCTCCTGAAAAAAATAAGTTAGAAAGGTTATAGAGTAAAAATCACCCATTACTAACTTCATTCATGAAGTCTGAATGTTAAAGACAGACAAAATAAGACACCATGTTGCTTCAGTGCTTGACAGGGACAGGGAATAATTCCTAAGTCAAATCAGTTTGTTCTTGGTGCATGTTATGACAGCAGAGTTTGTAGAGAAATGTAGTGAAATCTCAATAGTTTACTATTTAAGAACTGGATTTATTGTTAGCTTACAGATATTGTTCTTTTATGCTATCTGTTATGTTCTTATGGACTATTTCTTCCAGATGTTCATCACTAAGGAGTTTGTCTTCTCTATCCCAGTTTTTCTCAGAAATACCCACCTGTCAAATTCCTGTCAGAAAAGGATCGGAAGAGAATTTTGGTATGCATCAAACACCCAATTTCAAACTTCAATCACATTCAAGATAACTACGATACTATGATCTTAACCCTGAGTTGAGCCGTTTGGCAGCACTTTGTTTTTGTCTTTGGAAATGTTGTGTGTGTGTGAATGGGTGACTATATATTTGTGATGATTAGTGGAGCATATAAAAGTAGTGCACATAAGTGCAAGGCTCAGCTCTGGGCAAACAAAGTCCTTCAGATGTTCTTTAAGACACTCGCATCTGTTTGCACACATTTAAAAAGGAAATTCAGGTTTTATACAACCTTGCTCTTATTTTGTAGCTACACTAGCGATATTACTCTATGGATAACAACAGCGGTCGGTCGGTCTGTCTCGCTGAAAGGCTGTTTAATTTCTTGTTATGTAAATAAATTATTTGAAAGACTAGACATAACATGATCAAGAATAGTAAATCACTGATGTTACCATACACGTGTTGTTCCACTAGATTACTGGAGGTGCTGGTTTCGTGGGTTCCCACCTGACTGACAAACTGATGATGGATGGCCATGAGGTAACTGTGGTGGACAACTTCTTCACAGGGAGGAAAAGAAATGTTGAGCACTGGATTGGCCACGAAAACTTTGAGCTCATTAATCATGATGTGGTGGAGCCTCTCTATATTGAAGGTGAGCAAGAGAGTAAACATTGAGGGTGATGAAATGGTTTTTACTTACTGTTGAGGGTCAAACCAGGTACAGCTTTGCCAGAACTAACAAAAAATGGTCAAATTGCTGTAGAGTTGGGGAAGGCTGACAAATAATTATTTTGTTAACATTAGTAATGACATTTCTCATGTATATTGTATGTATTAGGTGTTATAGAGGCTACTTATACCCCTTTTACTCCAAAATTAGCACGTATAAGCAGGTTTTTTAAAAGTGACTCCTTTTACACTGCCAGTCGAGTGAACACAGACACGTAACTGCAGGGAGTAATGTCATCACATGCAATTACAGAACATACACATGCAAGACGCATGGTAGAAAGAATGAGCGGTTAGCTGCCATGCAGACTGGTTAAATGGATCCGTCATGTCTGATACCCAGGTTGGGGCTCCTGTAAGTGTCGGAGCCTCCGTGTGAGACGCTTGGATCGGTGATTGCGTCACTGTGTTTCTGGTTTAACAGCATCGTGCTGGACAGATGACGGGTCTGCTCACATGCTCGGAAAGACGGAAAAGGGACAAAAATTAGCGTGTTCACCTGGGTGTTGTATTTAAATCTCTACCGATTGGAGCCGATAAATACCCATGACTTGCAGAGTAATATTTTACACGGGCGTGAATTATAATTGTATTTTTCCCATTGCCGACAAAAGCCAGATGTTTGCGGGTTTTGGTGGCTTTTTGACCAGTGTAAGAGAGGCTACTTTCAGTTTTAATTTATTTAAGTTTAAGTTTATTAGTTTAAGCCCAATAATGTATTGCTAATTGTAATGATCTTTCCTTTCATCATGAAATTTTATTGCCATTGTGATACTTTCCCTGTCTGAAAACGTGGTCCTATATATGCACACATGAAAAGTGGATTAGACACACCCAGTTACACGTATCTATGACCAAGAAAACAGTTTTCCTTAGTAAAAGTGGAGCTGGGGATATGATGTTTCTTCTTAACTTTGAGTTCCTAACGATGTTTCTTGATTTATAAGAAGAAATGATGAACTGTAGTGATCAGCAATCTGCTCACTTGAGAACATGATTACTCTCAGGCCCCATTGAGCCTGAGCTGCGTTGAACACTTATAATGATGTATAGTTACCTAGAAACAGTAATCCACAATACCTTCATCCATCTCAATTATTTTTCAATTGATTCCATTGTATTTGAACATAATTTTATGTCAGGTAAGAAAATAATCATCCTTTTCTCTGACTGTGATGAGTAACACCCCTTTGAAAAGCAAATGCCAGGTCTCTGCCTCTGATAATGTTGGCCAGAGCAGTCATACAAATTACTCTCAGCATACAACAGATATATATATATATATGGCCTTTTGTTGGTGAAGCCATTTTTTACACAAGACCATATGAGGATATGTCACTTATTGCCATAATGGAAATGAGCAACACAAAACATTAACACGCAGATGGTGCATGGTTAGAACAGAGAACAAGCTTAATGCTAGGCCTACATTAGGTGAATTTTTGTTTTTGTTTTTGTAACAGCATAGCTAAGAGACATGCTTTGGGAATCAGAATAAGCACTTTGGTAGAGTGCAGAATTGTCACCCATGACAGTGCCATAGCTCCTGTGTTGCCCTTGACTGTTTCCCTGGTCAGATATGGTGGAGGGAATCTCATACTGATCACGCCTTTTTAAGATACCTACTTGATTCGCCTGACTCAGTCTGCTGAAGTCTCATATTAGCTTCATATAAAGTTTTGCAAGTAGTTTTGCATGAAAGACTGGATTTTTTTCTGGCAACACTTACATTGGAAGCTCATTAGAAAGGCATCTTTTAATTTCCAGTATAGACAGGAGAAATGTTTACAGCAAGCAAAACCTGTTTTAGCGTAGTTATGGACACCTGACTGTTGTTTTAGGACAGATATTGATCTACCTACCCTTCATTAATCATTATTATAAATCCTGTCAAAACCACCTGATCACAACAGAACCATCAGGATAGCTACGCTACTTGTAATCTTTTTTTAAATTTATTTTAAAGAAGGGGTATTGCAGATAACAAAGGGTATACTGGGATGTAATGTGACGGAAAAAAATTTGTACAATACAAATAAAGCCTAGCTCAGCCAACTGCAGGTTGCAGGCAGAGGTCAGCTGAAGCTAACAGGCTAGGCTATGAAAACGTAGCTAAGCTAGCTTTAATTTCCAGCAGCGCAAGCTGTCCAAGTGTAACAGACTGACTTCGTTATGTTTCTGTATGAATACACCACAGATAAAGAAACTGTCAGAAGAGTGAATGATGAAGGAACGGATGTTTTCTGCGGTTCCCATTTTAACTACTTAGCGATTTAATTCACTGAGAAGCTCAGAGGCTACCGGCAGCTACCGGACACTGGAATGTTTTCTTGCCTGTTACTCTGCATGATTGACGTTTGGAAATCAATCCATTTCATTTGTTTTGTTTTTTTGGCTCTCTACATGAGATACGCTTTAGTGATCGAATCTTCAAGCACTTATAAATGTAGATATATATCAACCAGCTTCTGCAAACCGGAGATATTTTATTTCAACAATTTGAGAAAAAAAAAAGTGGCGCAGCTTCGTTCCGGAGGCTCCGGCAGCTCTACACCTACACTCACCTGAAAAGATTTCTTGGTGACAGCTTCACACATTCAAAGGAGAGTGTAAGAGACGTGCATTAAAATATTGATCTGGGGCTTATAAATCGATATCGGATCATTCAAATGAAGATCGATTTTAATTAGAGAATCGATTTTTTTTTCAACCCAGCCCTACTTCCGATTTGGTCACCTCTGGGTTTAATTTTCCAGTGGGTGCTCATAATATCCATGGAATTGGTGCCTGTAATGCTAGCAATATCCTGAGCCAATCCAAGTATTTATTCAATCAGTGTTTCATGTATATAAAGCCTGATCAATTTCTGATCTCTTACATAATAATAATGATAATGATAAAATTAATTTATATAGCACACAAATTGTGTGTTGTGCAACATTGCCATCCATCATGGATGTCTCTTGGACATAAATGATGCTCTACAGAGAAGCGTTCTTTCTTACTACTTACTCACTACTACTTCATTTCCACTTCTCATAATATAACAAAAAAGATTTCTAACGATGTGATTTGTGATGTTGCTTCATTGTAGAGCTGTGTGCAATGAATTGATTCTCTCATCCCTGTGTGTATGTGTCAGGACTGGGTTCACTGGCCAGTGACAATATGTAATCAAGTCGCCACAAATAGAATCTAATTCTGCGTGAAACACTGCGCAATTTTAATAGCAATCCACCAAGGTGCAAGCGGGAGATGGCACTCTGATTGGTTTATTGCATGTTACACCCAAAAAGCTCCTTGGATTAATTAAGAGACTAAGTACAACCCTTTTCAACCGTTTGAACGGTGCGGTGATCTTTTTTTTTTTCCTGGTAAAATAGCGAAGTGCACTTGCGCCATGTGCTTTAGACCATGCACTTTGGTCTGGTAAAATAGAACCTTATGTGTTTGTGTGAATGTAGCTGTGCAGTTGGGTTGTCAACCTTGAACTAGCTCACAGGCTGCACTCCAGTTTATGGTAAGATGACTTTGGATTGCCCCATTAGAATAACACAATGCATGGGCAGTGCAAGTGCATACAGTGCAACTTATTACAATAGATTGGTATCATGCACACATGTCCAATTTACATTCACCAGAGATACTGAAATAAAATTCTGTGTTTCACATAATCTGGCATGCCAGCTGCATATCGACTCACACAGACTGTCTGGGAGACACAACAGCAGCAGCATTAAATCGTAAATATGCATAAGGTTACACAGGCACCAAGACACAAGCTGTGAAAATCCATGACCCTATTGATCACATGTCTCTCATCCCTGCATGTATGCTACAGTAAAATAATGATTTTTGCAGGGTTTGTAGTTTGTTGCGTTGAAGAAGAATTAAGGTGAAAGGAGTCTTGCCAACTCCATGAAAATGGACATGGTGTTCCACATCTGGCCTCAGACTTATAGCCTTGCAATAAGTAGAAAAAAGAAATAAAAAAAAATCCTAAAAATGTGAATCGCTTGTTAAACTAACTACAGATACTGGGAGACTTCTTGCTGCTTGCCATTGCATTCAAATCTGATGTTAGTATATCTTTATTTCAGGGAGGAAATGAAGCATTACAATGAATAGAGAAATGAAGAGCGAGAAGCAGGAACAAGCTGTGAAAGTGAAAATGTTTTGAGTCATGAATCAGGAGGTCAAGCCTTCAAAAAGTGTTCAAAAGGTGTTATTCACCTTGAAAAGAGAAAAGAATGTGTCAGAGATTGTAGAGGAAGAAGAGCTTACCAAAGACATATAGGGCGATTACACCTATTACAGAGGACAAGCACAAAGCTTATGTGCCTGACACATAGTTTTAACTCTAAGCACTGAAAGCAACGGCCGTTCAACGTTTCAACGTTCAACAGTTTTATGTGATCTGCTGTGGTCAGAAATTCAAATTCACTCAATAAATATGAAGTATAAATTATGAAGTAGTGGGTCACCTTTTACACTTATTATTCATCATGAAGGTTCCGGTTTCATTTGTTTGCTCTGGCCTACATCAAAGTATAGATAAATTGGCTTTCCTCGGGAGTGGACATGGGAAACAATAGACGGACACGTTTTTGTCTGACTCATCCTCCTTCAGCTTGAATGTACTGTACTGTATTCATCCAGCATTTTTTTAATTTGTATTTCCTCTCTCATTATGAAACACTGTACACACCCAAGGCTGGTTATCAGTAATACAAGGTCAAGGTTCCAAAAAGCTGCAGCATTTAGAAAATGAAACACAGGAAATCATTCAGTTGCACTGTCAGTACATTTTACTGGAACAAATGTTTGTTTCAAGGTGAGATGATTTATGTTTCTCCTGTTCTTCACAGTGGACCAAATCTATCACCTGGCGTCTCCAGCCTCTCCCCCCAATTACATGTACAATCCCATCAAAACTCTCAAGACCAACACCATTGGCACTCTTAACATGCTCGGTGAGTATGTAAGTGTGTGATGCTGATTTATAGGTCTCAAAACAAAGGCTTTATATGAAATGCAGACTTTGTTTGACCTTATCTTCTTTTGTTAAGAGCACAGTAATAAGTTTGTCATGTATCATTTTTAATACAAGAAAATAAAAACAGCTTAACAAACCACAAAATACCACAAATAAGATGGATTCAAACTGTCTTTGGTTCTTAGAGATTTGGTCTTAAAAATGTGTTTTCATTAGTTGTTTTTCTTCCCTTTGTGCTGTGGGGCAAAAAGGGTAAGAACCATAGTTCTTACAAGACCATTCCTCTCCCTCATTACATTTTCAGCTTTTGTTCATGCCAACTGTTTACAGTCTGAATATCCAGCAAAATACTTTGTGCTTTAAAATGAGATTCCTGTTATTTTGTCTGGGTGCTGGCAGATTGATCAAAGTTAGGCAGCAGAATCATATATTTAATAAAAAATGAAGTTCATGAGAAGATTTTGCCTGAGAAGCGGAGACAAGCGTCCATCGCACTAACAATGGTCGTTAAGCTTCCAACTGCAAAACAAACTATAAAATCCATTATTTATAGTCTTTGAGAAAATTGAGGACACATTTATTCCTTGATATTTTTTATTTTCCACCTCACTGTGGTTCTTCAGCAATGCCACCACAACCTCTTGTGTACCAAGTAGAGCCATTGTTCACGAGACCTACTGTGTGTTTAGAAATCCAAATATCAGTGCTTTTATAGATAAATGAAGCCAGCAATGTTACAGATTCCATGTCTTAAAGGGCAAGGTGTACTTGTGTATAATCACTGTGTGGCACATTTTGTAGATAGTGCACCACTGTCAAGGCGGCACAATCTGCTGTCTGTCTTCTCTCTTGTAATCTCAGGTTTAAAGCCACATTTTAAACTCTGTTGTCTATTGCAAAAAAAAAAAAAAAGACTGTTGTGATTGTGTTGTTTGTCTCTTAGGTCTAGCCAAACGTGTGGGTGCTAGACTTCTCCTGGCTTCTACTTCTGAGGTTTATGGAGGTAAGTAAGATGGCCTCCCACTCATATCTAAGTGTTTTTTACAAAACCAGATTGAACTGACGCTTGTCCTGCTTTCCAGTGACTTTGTGAACAAAAGGATGGATGTGTAGCAACACTTTAAACTGCTGCAGCATCCTCACCCCAAGCCATATTTTTTTAAGATTCTTTTTCTTCTTTTTTTTTTCACCTTTCGCAGCTGTCTGGCTCTCTTTGTGATTGTTATTTTTTTGTGTTTTATTGTATCCAGTCACACGTGGAGAATTGCACAAGTGTAAAGTGATGATTTGTTCAAGTGTCTCATTTCTACAGCACACCAATTATGCTTAGTGCTGTTTACTAGGCAGCATTTATGACCCTAAATCATTATCAATACTTTCTCTCATCTGACAAAACAAACTGAAATATTTGTTCCAGAATACATCACTGAACCTAGCTCTGAAGGTCAGGGACTCATTGTTTCCACTTTCAGTTTTTTAAAATGCTTTTCCAAACCTCTATGCAGAAAACTGAAATGTGTCTGAAATCTTTCTGAAATCTTTGTGATCCAGATCCAGAGGTACACCCACAGAATGAGGAGTACTGGGGACACGTGAACCCAATTGGTCCTCGAGCATGCTACGATGAGGGGAAACGTGTAGCAGAGACTATGTGTTACGCCTACATGAAACAGGTACCATCACTGTAACTCTACAGCACATATCGCTACAGTGGTTGGCTTGATGGATGGTCATGTTATTGCCTGTGTGACGTTTATGAAGAGTTTTTCCATGAGTAGAATAGTTTGAACAGCATCACAAATTTGCAAATGTAGCCTTAGCCTATATATATATATATATAATATATATATATATATATATATATATATATCACTTTAAAATGAAATTATTTGATTTGTTTTGTCTTAGATCTGTAGAAAATTTTCAGTAAGAAAGTAAGTTAATGTCAGAATAATGAAATAGGATGTGGAACCACAGCCCTATTGCCACCAGGTCTCTAACAATATTAAAAAATTGTTGATATGCACAGTGGCTGTGTAGTGCAGTGCAGGATTGTTTGCCATCAGTGAATCTTTTGTTGAGTCTGTGTTGAACTTTATGATGAAAAATTCATCAAAGCTCTTGAAAACTTCATGCATGTTTCCCTAAACATCCAAATGATGTTGAGACTTTTTGATCATTTTTTTCCTGTTACGACTTGATTGACACCAGCCTTTAATGATCAGATATGATTGACTTCTCTTGCCTTTCCTTCAGGCAGGTGATATTTATTTATCTGCCTCGTCTCCTGCTCCTCCTCAGCTGCCCATTATTTTTTTTCACACTTACAGGGAGAATTCTGGGAAATGGCTGGCTTTCAATATCCAGCTGTCAGTCATTTATGCAGAGGGACAAGAATATCACACATTAAATCTACTGCCCAGTCATGTAATCAAAATTCATTAACATTTAAAAATTGATGAGGTTATGCAGCAGATCAAAAAGCAATACCTGCTTTTCAGACAGAAAGCAAACATTATAAAGATGATGAACTATATATCAGTGGATGTCTGATTTCCAGTTGACAAGATGCTTTTAAACAAAACTTTACTCATAAAGACAGATCATGATCATATACAAGACAAGTGTTGATTAACACGATTTAGATGGTTACTTCCCCATTTTTTATTACCTGTTTAATGTGTCTAGATGAGAATTGTTAGGATTTTATCTTGATACTGGTTTTGCTTATTGATACCGATATTTGTATTCTTATGCATACTATATAATTCTGTGGTTTTGCAGCTGATCTATTGCAAATAAAGTAAATTTAGAGGAGCTATAGCCAGTAGGAAGTGAAGGATAGGGCATATCTTTGGCCATATAATCACATTTTATGACTGATTTTAGAGTCAGCTAACTAGAATCTATAATTAGATGCACCAGTGCTTCTTTATGTATTTTGCGGCAGTCAATGATGGCATCCTCCTCCTAATTATAATAAATGAGTATTGCACAGATAGGAGTGTGCAGATGTTTTTCCTGATGCAGCACCTACCAAAAGATTTTATGTGGTGAGGATTGGTGATTAGATGCACTTCTTAATTATCATTCACCAGGAGGGGGGAACGTATGAGTGTGTCTGTACTGTATGTAAATGTGTTTTTATGATGCGATGAATGGCTGTCTAGGTTGCACGTGACAAGCATATAGGATGAACAATAAGCCTTTTCTTCCAGAAGAGAAGATGGAGGTTCAACTGTTAAAAGCAGTGAATCAGTATACATGTATGTGCACTATAGATCCTTCAAAGACATGTAACACATCAGGTTTAATTAAGCATTTTCATACGCATGGAATAAATTAAAGAGCAGAGTTGCTTAATTTAACAGCAAGAAGACCAGTGAAGCAGCACAGACAGTGGGCAGTAGCTAATGCTATTGTGTTGTAACACAACATTCAACATCAAGTCAGGGGAAGTGGACAGGCTGTACATATTTGCTCATTAGTTTGCCAGTGTTACTCCTGTAAGATGCAACAACTGTTATTTTCATTCATTGTGTCACACAAGTCAGGCCAGTCTCCCTAGCATTTTAACCTGTCCCCCAAAACTACAGTCCACAGCAGGTAAACAGATCGTGGGAACTCTGTTTTACAAAGGTGACAAATCGGATACACATACTGCTCAGCTTACTGATGACACTGGTCATCCGGGGGTCAAGTCAGCTATTCTTTAAGGTTTTTCACTGTAATCGGACAGTATGTTCAGGTTGCTAGAGAAAGTGTCCAACAAGTGTTAGGGTGAGTCACTCACATGGCTCTACATTACACACGTTTTTAAGGGTTCTTGTGACATTCAGCTAGTAACCTTCACTAACACCATTAGTACATTTTTAACAGTAAACATATTGTATCGACATGAGGCAGGGGCAGACTAACGTAAGTAAGACATTCTTTTGGAACTACAGTGGAAACTGCTTGCACTGATCACATATGTCTGTGAATAATATTTTTTTGTCATGCGGATTACCATATAAGGCACATTTAATGCATGAATATAAAATAATGAAACTGACAGCTTTGCAATTTGACAATCTATGCTGTGGTCCTCTCCTGCTCCAAGCCTCGTCTGAATGGTCAGGGAGAAAGCGCTACACTCCACTCTCGTAACATACTGTACCTGCTGCTGTGAGAGAGCAAGGGCGATAATTACACAATGTAAAATCAGAGCAGGAAGAGTAGGGCAAAATAACTCACTGAGCCACGGTAGTGAAGATATCATGGTGCATGAGTGCACACAGCAAGCGCACGTACACACATACACATGCACTCTCACACATTGAACTTATGTTGGGAGAGTAGCTGGGTACGGTCATTACACACTGTGACAGTCCAAAAACCTTGTAACCTACAAAGTTAGAAGAGCATATGAGAGCTTGCAGTAATAGGCTACAACAGTTTCCACATTCATTTTACACAAGTCGTCATAAGAATAAGAAAAAAACTTTTTTTTTTTTTTTTAAAGCACTTTTCATAAAAGTCCAAGTCAGAAAGTGGTTTACCAAAGAAATGAAACCAGGCAAGCCAAATAAAATGAAAATAAGAACATGACCCAGAAGAAGTGAAAACGATAGAATGAATAACATCAAGTAAATAAGAATTATCAGTATAATGTCTAGCCTATGCCTAAATAATTTTTCACACTTGCACAGTAGAGCCCTGACATGACCTGGGTTATATGATGACACCTCCTCAGTCACGCACTAATGGCCCTAACTATTGCTCGCTTAATCTGCACCTTGGCATCAAGAACAGTGATCACTTTTTGTTTTGATACGGCCTCACATCAAGGGTTAACACCTACTGAGGCTGGTCTCAATATAAAGACAAAAGATACAAATTTCTAAGCAAGAGAAACAGATTTGATTATTGTTTATTTTTTGTTTTGGCATTTAAAGGCTTTTTACATAATGATAGTGTGGAGATGACAAAACATGGGGGAGAGAAAGACGTAACAAAGATTCCTGGACAGATTAAAACTGGGTTGTGGTTCATGGTTGGTATCTTAACCTCTAAACCATTTGGCACCATGGTGAAATAGCCACACATAAAAACCCAAGAGAATACTCAGCTGATGCACTCGACTATCATCCTTTCTGGGTTTGAATCTCAATTTCTACTTCTGCATATTTTCATTCCCACATCCATTAATATATCTCTATATCGTAACTATAAATTACTAACAACACATTGTCTTGTCATATTTACATACACGTTTTAAAGAACGTGAAGTCCCTGAGTTAGTTCCTCAATTTAGTCCTTGGTACTGTTTAGTATAAAAGCCCAATTTTGTGGTTATTACCTTTTGCTGCCTGGCATTCTTATGTACATTTCATTTGTATTTTCTCTTTATCCAATAAGGTAGAACATATGTCTCCAAGGAAGTGTCCCGTGGACAGTAATATACGTGTAAATGCACAAACATTGAGAATTAAATCACTTGAAGTCAGTGTGGCTGCCTACTCAAATATGTAGCGTGCCAGTCAACATAGTCAGACGCAGTTACACAGATGCACTGGATTTATGGGACATTCCTGTGTAGCGGCAAACAATAGGATTGTAGTTCCTGGGATATGTAGGTTATTTCAAACTGTTGTCATTGACATACTGATTCAAGGCGATTTCTCTCAGCAATTAGAGTATCAGTGTTTACCTCTTCAGTGATGTGTGTAAACTGATGTGTTTAAATAACTGAAGAAAAGAACATCTTGGTAAGTGTTTAACTGTACCTGTGCACACACCGTCTTTTACATTTACAGGGCGTTGTGAACGCGCGCACGCACACACACACACACACCCACACCCCTTCCAAGACCTTTTTATCATGTTGTCCTTATTATGTCTGTGCGCCTCACCACACTGAATATATTTGCGGGTTTCGTCCATTGAATTTCATGCTCCACATTTTCAACAGAACAATCTACATAATTTTCATGTTTTTATTCATGCCATGTGACCCAAGATGGGTCCATGTCCCATCTGAAGCAATATGTATTGATGCACGAGACTGACTTAAGAAGGCCATGGATTTCTAAAAGGGAGAGTTTTCTGTGTCTGTGGGGTCAGTGTGTGTTTTCATGATGTTGCATGGCCTTGCTTATATATTCTTTGTTGGAGAGTGTGTATGTACTGTATGTAAGGAGAGCCTAGTGTCATACTCACCTGGAGAATATTTTGACAACACATCATTATAATTTCCCCTCACACATTCTCACAAAATGCTGCTAATTCTGCTTCACATGCAAAGAAAATGAATATCACTACTGTACCACTTAATGATCTACTGTATGAAAGAAGTGCTTTCTAGGAAAGGCAGCATGTGACACAAAATTATTGCTATGCCCTATAAATATAAACATAAGTATAGATAGTTTCAGTTCTGTAGAGAAATGCCCATTGATCTAGAGGGGTAAAAACTAAATAGGCCACAGTTGCTGGCTAATTTTCTTCAGTTCTCCCGCGTGGCCCAGAGTAGATGCTAAAAGGCAACATAAAGATCAAATAATCAAATCCCAGTTAACATGTATAGACTGTAAAATGCAAGGATCATAAAAGTGATGTGTGGAAAATATACAATACCCTTCAACCTCAGAGAACTTAATCAGCTTTTTGATTCTAGTGATCAGGTCAGAAAATGGATTTTAATTAAGTGGCGGATGGTTTTGCCCAGACACAGGAGAAAGAGGGTAAATGGCTCACTTTGTTACTGTCACCCAATTAGAGAAATGTGCTGACAGCTGCTATGGTTATTCAGATTTTAATAGGGGAGGCTGACTGATCCTTTTAGTTTGAAAAGTCATCATACTTGAAAAATGAAAACATGATAAAAAGTTTAAAAAGGTTTTGATATTGAATCTGATATGAATGACACATGTAGAGGAGTAGATGAATTGCAAGTGTAGTTTCTGGTATATCAGAGTATAAGTCACCCACTTTCTTCTTTGCTCACAGGAAGGAGTTGAGGTGAGAGTGGCGAGAATCTTCAATACGTTTGGCTCCCGAATGCACATGAATGATGGACGTGTTGTCAGCAACTTCATCCTGCAGGCTCTACAGGGAGAACCTCTAACTGTATGCATTTTAAGCTTTCTACTGATCATGTGCTTTTATCGTGTTGATTAGTGCTTGAGACAAACCTCTGAACACATCAGGCTCTTTGTTTTCACCTCTAGCATTTTGAGGATGCTCTCACTAGATTAGCCTCTGTGAGATGATAACTGATTACTGTACAAGTGTGCATCTTGAATGGTATGAAAGCATATGAAAAACCTTGGCACTCTTGTTTAATTGAACATGAGTTCAAGTGAAACGTCAGACACTAGTAGTTTTAATCTGCATCCAGTTGATTTTCATTCGAATTATATTTAATATGTTGAATATGGTTTAATAGTATTTGATTCTAATGCATGGAACTGAAAATGAATGTGACATTGAGAAGTAAAATAGGAAAGAGATAATTAGCAGTGCTGTACATGGAAGTTTTGTAGTTTTTATTTGTTGTTTAAGACATGAAAACGTATTTACCTTGGGTATGAGAATCATGCAGAAATAATAATCAGTTACCTATTGTTGTTCCAGGTTTATGGTACCGGTTCCCAAACAAGAGCCTTTCAGTATGTAAGGTAAGATGAGGAACTGTAACCTATTTATACTCGTTTTGTCATGTTCCCCCAGATGTATCATTCTTCCCTTTAGTCTGTACCAGTCAAGTGCTTGTCAAGCAAAGCAAGCAGTGCTTGACCAGTTAAAGCTTAAAGTAGCCATCAATTACATCTGATCTGATCTGATGCCTTTTTGCATCCATCATTTAATTTACTGCCCTCTTGTAGCCGCAGTAGGCTTTTGTCTCGGGAAGCTAGCTTGACCAGCAGCGTCTGTATATATCATTCCTGTCATTTTCGTGGGTGTGGCCGTGTTCTGTTGGCTTAGGCTGAGGCTCATCAAGCAGAGAGGGGAGCAACATTTTTGGACATTTGCACTTATGCATTGAACATAATCCTGGGATCTTTGACAGGTGACTAGCTGTTCTTGTGCATTTGAAAATTGCTTCAACAGTCTTTTCTTCCTAAGCATTAAGAGGCAGCAGTAGAAAGTAAACAAGTCAATATAAGTTGTCTTAGTCACCTTGATCAACATGTGTTTGTTTCTATAGCTCTGCTTGCCTATTTGTAAAAGTCACTGCACGCCACTGATCTGTATCTAAATATTTGCAGTAGAAAAGCTTTAATTGTTGTTTACGCACCAATTAGGAAACAATAAAAACAATGCATTTATTTGTATGGACCTCCACACACACAAGATCCTTGAACTATGCCGAAATATATGTATTTGGCAGGTCGAAAGAGTATTTAATGGTTTATGTGCAGGTGATAATGATTAAACTGATCAGTTTGGAGAAGAGAGGTCAGAAACAGCTCCCCTGTGTCCATAAAGCATTCACCTTCTGCCCTGTATTACATTAGTGTTTTGTACACAGCCAAGGTCTTTCTGTAAACTCTCCTTTGAGTGAAACTCAGAAAACCTGAAATTACTTGAGTAAATTCAGATTATTTCCACCTTGTGTTAAAACTGTTTAGGTGTGAAGATTTAAAGCAACAACCTCCCCTCAGTCATATCTGTTCTTTCTCTTTCAAATTTTAATGATCAATTCCAGAACTGTTAAACAGCTTTAATGACTAATTTATTTAATATATTTAGTATTTAATGTATTTAATTTTCTTCTGACTGATCAATAGAAAAGAAATGCAATATACAAAGGGAAGACAAATCTAAATTATGAAGAAATAATTATCTAAAAATATAAAATCCAAAATAATTTATTACATAATCAGTTATTTAATAGATAAACTGGAAACCTTGATCAATCATTATAAAATAGTTTATCATTATAAAACACAGCAGAATATATTGTATCTATAACACAGCATACAGACAGTAGCATATTGGTGTGTAAGGGAAAGCTTTGTGTGGAGATACATCTTCACCAAGTGTGCAAGGAGGAAAAAGAACTGGAGCCGGTGGTGTGTTGATATGCGTTACATCAGGCATCTGAGTCACTATAGTGTTGCCATCTTAATTATATCTTAAATTTTACCTTTATGAATGTTTTGTGAATGATTCTACAAGGGTAGAGGCCTTTCCTGCATTTGTAATGTGTAGTGCCTCAGCTGCCTTCAGGTTCGCTTAGCTAAACTCCTCCACCACTCATTTCTCCTTGAAATGCCTCTGCTCTCTGTGGCACAACTCGTATGTTCTCATTAGCTGGCTTTCCTTAACAAATGATACCTTGAGGCCACGCTGGGTCACTTGAGCCAGTCCAAGGAAAAACCCAGCTCGAAGTTTCAGGCTCCAATGCTTTTAGTATCAAAAATTACTTCTATTTACTACTATTTCAAGTGCCTTATTGCCTCCATTAACTACATGTGTCTGTGTGTGTGTGTGTGCGCCAAAGGCGCCGCTGCTGCTGCAACTGCTGACTGTACTGATAAGTGAGCCAGAGCAGTGGGCCAAACTACAATAACTGACTGCCAGTTGTTATCAGAACACCAGCCCGCACCCGTCCCATTCATCTTACAGAATACTTTTGCCTGACGTCTCTCCCTCTGCGCTCCCCCTCTCACCCCTTGCCTGCCTCGCATTTTGAAAAACTTTGGAGTAGAGCAACACCAGTCTCTTGGTGTGTATTAATACATCTGTAAAATATTTGTAGAACCAGAAGACGTGCTGTCATGGGTCATGTCGTATCATGTGCTTACACACAACTTTAACTACCACACCAACCTCTGCAAAGTGGATAAACTAAGTTCCTACAAAATCTTCTGCAACAATCATGACAATGTTTAAAGCCTGAGTCCGTCATGTTTAACTACCCCATTTATATGATGTGGTATGGTTAAGCAGCATGTGTGCATATATACAGTCTAATACAACAGGCTACTGAGTCTACCTTGTTGAAGCTTATAATGTTCAGTTTTTTTGGAGGCTGAAGTTTGTGCTAGTGTTGATTTATATTGCGTTATACTGAGATATTACCCTCCCCTCATTGATTTCAATGAGATGGACAAAACACATATGCATGAATGCAAATTTGACATATTGGAGAAAGTACAGCTAACTGATGTAGATGTGGTGCAGTCTTGTGAATTAGATTTTTAGAGTAAACCAGCATCTGTTATTCTCCAACCTGTGGTAGGTGAGGCAGCTGCCATATCATTATCTTTGTTTGCATGTCCCTGGTAATGTCAAGGTCTAAAGCCTATTGAGGGAATCATACAAATGAATCGTATATGTATCTGTGTGGGCGGCATGTGGTACAAAAGCTGAGAAAACAAGGCAAGATGGACTATTTAAATGGTATTTTTTAAAGATTTGTCAACCAGATCAGAATTAAAAACATAATTATGAAAATTTTGTGAATTGGCTTTTTTTTTTTTTGGACTCCTATTAGTATTGTATAAAATGTATGCTCTGCATGTGGGTATAGTTGTATGCATGACCCAATAAAAAAAAAAAAGCCAAACCTCTGTACAGACTATGTTTTTTTCAAATTAACAACACTTACAGAAGAGTTTAGAGGGTTTATAATGTTGAGCAATATGTGCCGGATGAAATGAGGAGAGGGTGCTGAGGCTGCCATTTCTCACCTGGCCCTGGAACATTTTGTTGATGTGTTAAATAGGAAAGCTATTGAAACAATTATGTTGAGTCATCTGAGAAATTTGTATTACGTGGAATGCAAAATATACATAATGCTCTCATAAACAAATCTCTACATGGGAAATTCAGACGCGAGCAGTGTCCCTCACACAAAGCAAAGCTAGAGTGGAATTTAAAAGATGACAATCTATATTAAATGTCTCTCCTTCTGTGTTTAATTTGTTTTCCAGTGACCTGGTGAATGGCCTGGTTTTGTTGATGAACAGTAACATCAGCAGTCCGGTCAATCTGGTGAGTACATCTTACCCAGTCGTGTTTCACAAATTGAATTAGAAAATGAATTCCACATAAGCAGACAGTTTACTGGCAGGTCGGTTTATTTGACTGTCTGACGCTGATGTGAACAAAGTGTATTAATCTGTTTCTAGGGGAACCCAGAAGAACACACTATATTGGAGTTTGCTCGTCTCATCAAAAGCCTTGTGGGTAAGGTGTTAGATCAACTGAGAAAGTCTGTGTGTGACTGAAAAGAAATGTATTTCAGTGTTAGTGTAGGATTTAACCTCTTTTATTGTTGTATGAATGGATGTCTCATATTGTCAGGCTGTGCCAAGCAGTCAGTACACTGTATACACACATTTTGTCGTTCACTCTGAGAGTGACAGTGGCTTCAAGGAGAACATTTGCACAGGAAAGGGTTTTGCTGAGCACTAAATATGAATCTGCTTTGCCATACTAAAAAATGAGACGATTAGATTATTCAGTTTGCTCTAGTTAGTTTTCCCTATGATTGGTCTCTGCTGGCTTTGGAGGCACTTGGGGAAAAAACACAAGAAGCACAAGTTGACTGACCACAGTTGTTTTGGTCTCTGTGTGGCGTCTCCATAACCAGAGCATGTACTGTACTAACAGTTTTGAGGAGATGCATGTCAGCTGTAGTAGTACATCCACTTCCAGTTGTATGAAACACTAAAATTGTGCATGTGTTTACTCATCACTCAGTGTGTTTACATGCTCAGGCAATTTTCAGACTAACAACCTGCCCTTCTCCATGTCGTCTTGTGATTGATTGTTAACATGCACACTCACAGTGAGCCGGAGTCAGATCCAGTTCCTTCCAGAGGCCCAAGACGACCCACAGAGGCGAAGACCCGACATCCGAAAAGCCAAGATGATGCTCGGCTGGGAGCCGGTGGTATGTGTGACAAATGCCAGACTGAAATGATCGCAAACTTTTATGCATTTGTTTTTTTTTACTGCAAGAAAGTCTGTAAATTAAAGTATAAGATTTAACAGTGAGAGACTTTGGTAAAAAATGAACCACTATATTTAAATTTCAAGGGAAAAGAAGAAAGAATGTTGAATTATCACTAATATTTTTTATATTTGATATTTAGAGATATTTCCAAAAAGACATTTCCATGCTAAAAGATGGAAGGTATTCAGTATTTCCAGTTTGAAGACCATCATTGCAACAGTCCACTGAAACATACATTATATTTATTTATTTTGAGGTGAATCTAGCTCATCGATGCATGTTGGCCCAATCCAGTAATTGAATGCCAGGGGAAACTGGAATGAATAAATCATTAGATGATCAATCAATTTACAAAATATATCATGAGCTCTGCATCATGTGTGCATCATGTAATCATTAGCATTAGACTACATGACTGACGTATAGACATTTGTAGCCAATCTCTGACTTATTATCATCCAATCAATATATGAACATATATGTAATGTGTAGTGTAGTTATTTATTAGTAGTATGTTAAAGATGTGTTGTGTCTCGTGTTGACAGGTGCCGCTGGAGGAAGGCCTGAACAAAACTATCCAGTACTTCAGCAGAGAGCTTGAGCACCAGGCCAACAACCAGTACATCCCCAAACCTAAAGCCGCCCGCATGAAGAAGGGAAGGCCCAGACACAACTGAGGTCGTGTTTCCCACCACAGACTCTCCCATAACAGAGAAGGATGTTAACACTCCTCAGAGGACCCTCGAAGAGAAACTCTTTTAAATATACTGTTGAGTAGAGCACTCTGGGATATGGTGTCTTTTTTTTGAGAAGCAGAGACAACTTTTTAGTCTCTTAAAAAAGATAGCGTTGCCTTGTGTTGGAGCTGCAGCTGCACTGTGGGGTAAGGATTTCCTTGCCAGAGCTTGCGTGTTGGATGGACAAGTCTGAATCAAAAACAGCAATTTAAGACAAAAAAAAAATCTGAAACCCAGCCTACATTTTTTGTGAATTTGCGCTTTTGCTATTTAAATTGCAGACATGAGAATCTCACAGTGCTTTGTGTTAATCAGTTTCATGGTGTTTTGCCTCCGAAGATTGGCTACCTGACTCTTTCTTTTTCCCGCTGGTTGTTTGTCCTCTTATCAGTGGCGTGCCAGCACCCTGTTGGCTGCTTGTGCAGCACACTGCAGGACTGGACAAATCTTCTAGAAAGACTGTTACAGCATCATTATGTGTTTATCAGGACTTCATTGTGTTCTACTTTGTGAAATTCTCATTTCAGGATATGTGTTATCAATTTCAGGTGAAGATGCTATTTTAATAAAATATTTACAATATTTTGCGTATGATATAATTAGGGAAGAAGATATTGTGTGTGTGTGTGTGTGTGTGTGTGTGTGTGTGTGTGTGTGTGTGTGTGTGTGTGTGTGTGTGTGTGTGTGTGTGTGTGTGTGTGTGTGGAAGGAAATGAAAAAGCAGGAGATTCAGGCACTGTAGAGTCACATCTTTATTTACAGTAGTGCCAGAGCCAAGTTGTTGATTTTTAATGTGGGGATGGAGGGAAAGCGTGGATTATGGTTTACAATGGTGGGTGTAACAAAATCAAGACAGAGATGTGGCAGGTGTAAGACTAACAAACTAGCACAGACTGTTCTCTCAAAGAGAAGGCAGGGGACTGACTTATATGAAGAATCCAACCCCTTTGACCATTCACAGAAGCACTGGCCTGTGTTTGTGTATGACTGCAGCTAATAGTAGTCGTAGTTGACATTCGCTCCGTGTCTGTAAGAACCAGGGTCACGTGGGCCGATGGGGGAATTTTCATCATAGTGATGCTGACGCCCTTGGTCACTGGAGCGTGCCTGGTCCATCCAGTACGACAGGTCAGTCTCCAGCCTCTGGGAATGGAAAAACACCACAGACGTGACTCGTTAGGAAAACTCAGCCTCAACAAATCTCAAGCTAATGGACACACAGGCAGTTGATAAGGTGCCCACTGAGACTGTCAGCGGGCACAGCTGTGGCAAATAGACATGCATGAAAGGCAAACATTGAAAAGGCCACTGCTTTGACAGCTTTGGCCTTTTAAGGAAGCAACAGCAAATGGCATAAGCACAAGGTGTCATGCATGGGGCTGTTTGAGAAATACTGCTATATACTCGCTGAAACGCAAATGCTGTCAAATACAGTGGGGGTAGAGGGTTATTTTGTGCACTTTGCTCCCTTTTTTTTCTGCCCTTATTATCTGTTCCCTCCATTCCTTACTGTCTCTAGTGAATTCTACATGACAGTCACTGGTCTGAAAGAAAACTGACACTGGCTCTGTAAGTGGGGTTATATTTATCTGTGTGAGAGGGAATTTACGCATTGCCATGTACTCCGTTCCATGTTTGTGTTTATTCATTCAGTCAGACAGCAACATTTTGAGAATACATGTGCCTTTTTAAAGACTTTAAGATCTTTTAGACATCAGACCTAATACACTTTTGTCACTCCACATTTTTGTCCTCTGAATATCTGAGATTATATAAAGATCCAGATGACTGAAGTTTTTATTGTCTGTTTTATGTCTTCGTGTTTATGTATTTTTTCTGTCAGGTCCAGAAAATCTTTTTTTTCCTCAAAATTAAATATTGATGTGGTCATATCAGATGTGGTTTGATATAATTGAATTGATAGAGGCCTGACAACGTCAGCAAACAACCTGGCAACTGTCTTCAGATTTTGATTTAAGTCATTTAACACCAGTGGAAGGTCTTGCTTTCACTGACCTCCAGTGGTTTAACGTTTCACCCTGTTTTAGTGACGTAGACGTGTGTGTGAGTGCACTGTGACATCACTGTTGGGTGTGGTTACAAGTGCAACACTATCACAACTATCTGATACTGAGTTTTGTCAGAGGTGCAACAGGCTTGAAACTTTCAACCAAGGGAAATTAAACTTTTCAACCTAGTGTTTTATTATGATTCTGATTGGTGCACAGACATGCAGTCCATGACATCTCCCTTGCGCACTGCCCACTTCAACCCAGTGAGATAAACGCAGACAAAAACAAAAATGCAGAAATCTGTCAAGTGAAATCATCAGAACTGTTCTTGCTGCATCAGAAAGCCTTCTGTGTTTGCAGGACTACATTGGTCACAGTAAGAAGCTGACTGAGAAAACAGGTTCTCAGGGCTTTTAAGTATTTTAAATCAATACACAATATTGCACACGTCATGAACCACCAAATGTCTCTAAACATCAGTGCACTCCACCATCTTTACAAGTCAAAGTCAATCTACAAATCAGTCAGTAGTAGTAGAAAGGTATCATTTCTTCTGGAGGAACTTTGTCAACTCTGGGAATTTTTTTTCTCTTTGACTAAAATACAAACAATGTTTGGGCATGAGTTCTTGGTAAGGGTTCAAATTTTGTATTTCTGTGCTGTGTTTTTATTTCTAAAAACTGAACAACTACATTAAGGATTATCTCTCAAAAGTGGTAAATCTATGTGTTGTTTTTTTTTTTGCGTCGGGTTTTATTTTTCAGAATACCCGTCATGTTGACAGCTCCACTGGATAATGATTTCTGCTTTTCAGGAGTTCAGAGAAACACTGAACCCTCCTGTAACAGACACAACTCACCTGCTCGTCAAACCCCATATACATAAACTGCATAATCCACTGCTGTACATCTGGTCTGCTGCGATCCCAAATGTTTCTCTTGGTTCTGCTCAGTTTTGCCAGGAACTCTTGAGCCTTGGATGGAGGGACAGCAACAGAGGACTTTGATGGGGTAGTACTAGTTCCTGCCACTGGATGGAAGCACAATAGGGAAAATAATGAGAGTATTTTTTAATAACACTTGAAAATGGAGTTAATTTTTCTGTCAGCAGCATAACAATACTGTCAGTTAAGGGTGTTACCATCTCTTTTCCTTAAGATCTTGAGCAAGCTGCTGTCACCGTCTACATCTGTAAAAGTGAGACAAAAGAGAGCCAATGAGGTGCAGTGTGAACAAGTTAATCAGGTGTCATTCATTTCTAAAACATCCCCACACAATGTTTCTGTTCAGTTTAAACGATAGGTCTTTGCCAGTTATGGGCAAACAGAATACAGCTGAAATTGGTTTTTAATGGTCAATATTTAAGGCTAGCTCTATACTTGTATAAGATGTTTAAAGCTACTCATTTATAGCTGATTTGTCAAACTTCGAGCTACAATTTCTTAGTCAGAATTACATCACAATCTGCCTGCACTGCTGCAGTTTTAACAATTGGCTTCAGTAGTTTTAGGCCTACACTAAATTTTGCCCCTAACTAAACCAGTTTTATGGATGAATTTATTTTCAGTTTTTATTATAGATGCAAATGTTAAAGTGGAGCCATGATCAGGGTTAAATGAAAAGTTGCCAACTTGCATAGAGGGATTTTTGCCTTCGCTATTTTTCATGTTAATATATTTGCTGCAGCAACTTTCTTCCTGCTGCTATTCTCACCCACCTGGAGCCCTGGAGCTACACTGTGTGTGGTGAATCCTTATAAAGATAAAGGACACTAATGAGGTATCTTGTTCTTTGCTGCACCCTACCTGTTCAGACAGATGACCTTTTACACTTGTAGCTGTAATTGACTGTTCTTTCAGAGTGCTTAAGCCCTATACCATGTTTCCATTAGTCTATAATGGTTTAATTTATTTATTTATTTATTTATTGTTTTAGGCTAAAGTCCAGAAGGCTAAGACACATCTACCTTAGAATACCAGATGCCTCAGAATGCACAGAAATCCAGTCCATAGTTTGAGGTAGACTTTGTCTTTCACTGTGTGGTTAGATGTGGAGGGATACAGTCAGAGAAAATTGCTTGCATGTGTTTTTTTTTCTCCAGCTTGTGTTGCAAATGAACTATGAACAGCAAACTCCTGCAGACTTTCTCATTACTATAACAGTCTGTCCACAACATGGGCAGTAGCAGTCATTCTTTGCACAGCTGGCTTTTATGGCCTGCATTGGGCTGTTTATTTATCTTTTCTCCCACAGTCATTGTTTGAAATGAGTGAACCTCCTGATGTCTGTAATAGCCCGTTTATCAGCTTATCGGTGCATTTTAATAAAAGCATTACCACATAATAACAGTTAAAGGATAAAATGGCACCTCCTCAAAGGGTAAACTCATACAAGAGCGAGAGGATAGAAAAATGTTGTAAAGGGTTAAGTTAAAAGGTTTAAATGTGCATTATAGTCCTCTTTCTGACTTACAGTTCACTTTTTTAGCCATGCTAGCAGCATGGCTAAATAGTGAGCAATATTGATTGGTCGGTTTGGTTTGTGATAAAAAAAAATGAATAACATCAAAACATCAGCTGTACTGTGTGTATATACAAATATAAACAATATAATCATGCTAACATGCTAAACCAAGATGGTAAACATGTTAGTCATTATATGTACTAAACATCATATTAGCATATTAGCATGTTAGCATTCTTTCATTAGTATTTAGCTCAACCCAGTACAGCTTCACAGAGCTGCTAGAATGGCTTTAGACATTTAAGCCTAGGTAGTACTTCTGAAGATATAAACATGTTAAATATTGTAAAAAGCAAAACTCATTTGGTGTTAAGCCGTGGGTATTGTTATTAGAGCAATCAATTGTTAAGTGTGATTGAAGGGTGTAGAGATGTATAGTATTGACACTGCGAAGTTGCAGCCTACACAGATTAAAAACCAGTTGTCCTGAGGTAGAACCCTGTGGCACACCTGTGATGTTGGAGGTATCAGAGGACTGATTACCAAGAATAAATATGTATTTAGTATCAATCTGACAGGTATGTCGTAAAACAACAGAGTGCAGTGCAACTCTGCAGCTGTAGGGACTGTATGACTGACACCGTGTAACAGATTTTGAGTTTACTACAGGCTTGGAAGTTGGAGGTAGTTATTAAGAACAGATGCATTCTAGTCATTTTCTTTGAGATGAGTTTAACCTTTTTCTCAGCTTAGGACCATCACATTGTCATGGCATGTTTATCCCATTTATTACCAATAAGGTATACTTCGCATTACTGCCAGTTGTATAGCATTAGTTCACAGATTTTTGTGTATTTGATGAGCTTGTCCTATTTTTCAGTCAGCATTTTTTTTTTCAAACAGGCATGTCATGTTGCTTTTTAAAAAACAAGGTTGTTAAAAGGTATGTTTTGATGTGATGCAGTTCAGACTTTTTAATTGAAGGTGAATTGTAATATAACTCATTATGTACTGTGTACATTAACTTTCTACTCTAGAATGGAGTAGAATAGCTACACTTAAGGTTGGCAAATTGCATTCAAATATGTGCTATGCTCTAATTACACTT